GGTGGCACCTTAATTGGGGAGGACAGGCTCATAGCAATGTCTCGAACAGATCTTTGGAATGGGTTCAAACTCATGGTTTCCATGGTTTCCATGTGTTTGATACCATTCCATTTAGTCCATTCCAGCCATTGCTATGAGCTGTCCTCCCCTCACCATCCTCCTGTGGACCAGAGGTAATGACCAGTTTGGCACCCCATGAAATAATAGGCCTGACAGTATGTTCAGTATGTTCACAGTGACTCATAAAAAGAGCCACAATTCTGAGAGGTAAACATCAAACCACATATCATAGAGCATTGCTTTCAATTACAATGTCCAAATGGAATGAATGCCAAATGGAATGTCTGTCTTGTTAATGGAAAGTGAAATTATATGGTTGATGTAGCTTACTCTATCCACAGAGACCAGTCAGTCCATGCTGACGAGGTTGTCCTGGGGGCCGGTGATGTGGGCCCAGTCTGGCAGTGACTGCTGCTGACTAAGTAATCCTCTTTGGTCTGTCACTCCACTCATGGGGCTTTGCTCTGTGACAATCCTTTTGACTCTCCCTCTACAGGTGGTGAGCCAACCAACTGGTAACCGTTCTACTATTCCTGGCTAGATTTCTCTATCTCTGTTTCCCTTTCAGGCCACTCTATCTGGCATCCGAATCCCATCCCAAAGGGGTGTGGTTTGGTCCTGTCTCTCCTTCATCTTTGGAGGTTTGCTTCAAACTGGACGAAAAAACGCAGAGGTGGAATCAGGTACAAATCAAAGAAGCAGAAGTGGATTATGAGAGGGTGAACTGTCTTGAGGTTGAGGAGCTGCTATGGCAATTTATCCTAGAATAAGTGAGGAGTGGATACAGTACACATCAACAACAACAATGATCCAGGTAAGTGGTGTGCCTGTCTGCTGCAATGTTTTCATACTTTAAGTTTTTATCGCAGAGGCCTTTAGAGAGTAGTGGGGAAAGGTAACTGTCCATCTGTCTCTGTCCATGTTAATTACTCTTTCGGTTCAGGTGGTTGTACGGTATGTACAGTATACGTAAGTTTATCTTTCAAAGTTGCACCTCAAAAGCCCTTGATTTGCTGAACTAACTAATATAAATATGTTATATTTATATACATGTAAAAAAAAATAAAAAGAGACATAAATGTCACGATTATGAATAAAGTATTTGTTTACACTTCGTGTAAGTGATGGCAATCTGCCAACCAGACAAACTAGCAATCTTGCTATAGAAATATAACCTATAGTGTCACGCCCTGACTCTGGGGACTCGTATTTGTTGAGTCAGGGTGTGTATTTTCTGTGTAGTATGTTCTGTGTTGCATTTTCTATGTTTAGATCTAGATCGTGTAGATCTATGTTGGCCGGTGTGGTTCCCAATCAGAGGCAGCTGTAGCTCGTTGTCTCTGATTGGGGACCATACTTAGGCAGCCTATTGGCACTAGTGGGTTGTGGGATCTTGTTCCAGTTAAGGTATGTTGTGTTGCCTTGGACTTCACGTTTCGTTGTGTTGTTTTGTCGGTTGTTTATTCCTTTAAATAAACATGTATGCATATCACGCTGCGCCTTGGTCCGTTCAGGAGCAAACGCCGGGAATTCAACAGGAGGTTACATTAGTAGATGTCCTCCTCGGTTGGGGGAGAATTACGGAGGAGGAGGCCGTCCGTTACCGGAAGGCGATGAAGGAGGATGCCCAGGTAGGAGAGGAGAAACGGCGCCAACAGTGCCGACGACGGAGACCCGAGAGGCAACCCCAAGAACATTTTTGGGGGGCACACGGTGTGGACGACGAGGCAGCAGGAGGCCGTTAAAGGGCGGATCTGCAGGTTAGGAGAGGAGGCCACCATGTTACGGGGGCTATTGGTTCAGAGGGAGCAGGAGTTATTCGGTCAGAGGGAGGCGCTACAGGAGGCTATAAGGGAGAAGGAAAGTGTAGAGGCACGGCGAGAGGAGCTGGTTAGGCAGCAGAAGGAGCGGGGGTTAATAAAGGAACCCAGTCCCGCTCCTCGCACCAAGCAAGTGGTGCGTGTCGCCAGTCCGGTCCGGCCCGTTCCTGCTTCCCGCACTAAGCCAGTGGTGCGTGTTTCCAGTACGACCCGACCCGTTCCTGCCCCTCGCACCAAGCCAGTGGTGCGCGTCGCCAGCCCGGTCCGGTCTGTTCCTGACCCTCGCACCAAGCCAGTGGTGCGCGGCGCCAGCCCGGTCTGGCCTGTTCCTGCCCCTCGCACCAAGCCAGTGGTGCGCGCGCCAGCCCGGTCCGGCCTGTTCCTGCCCCTCGCACCAAGGCAGTGGTGCGCGTCGCCAGCCCGGTCCGGCCTGTTCCCTGCCCCTCGCACCAAGCCAGTGGTGCGCGTCGCCAGCCCCGTCCTGGCCTGTTCCTGCCCCTCGCCACCAAGCCAGTGGTTCGCGTCGCCAGCCCGGTCCGGCCTGTTCTGTCCCTCGCACCAAGCCAGTGGTGCAACGTCGCCAGCCCCGGTCCGGCCTGTTCCTGTCCCTCGCACCAAGCCAGTGGTGCGCGTCGCCAGCCCGGCCTGGCCTGTTCCTGGCCCCTCGCACCAAGCCAGTGGTCCGGCCTGTTCCTGCCCCTCGCACCAAGCCAGTGGTGCGCGTCGCCAGCCCAGCCCGGCCTGTTCCTGCCCCTCGCACCAAGCCAGTGGTGCGCGTCGCCAGCCCCGGTCCGGCCTGTTCCTGCCCTCGCACCAAGCCAGTGGTGCGCGTCGCCAGCCCCGGTCCGGCCTGTTCCTGGCCCTCGCACCAAGCCAGTGGTGCATGTTCCTAGTCCGGTTCGGCCCGTGCCTGCTCCTCGCACCAGACCAGTGGTGAGTGTGTCCAGTCCGGCACGGCCCGTGCCCGTTCCACCGATGCCTGGTCCGGCACCAGTCAGCAGCTCCAGTCCGGAGCCAGAGCAGTCCGCTCCACCAGTGCCTGATCCATCTCCGGTAAGCTGCTCCAGTCCGGAGCCAGAGCAGTCCGCTCCACCGGTGCCTGATCCAGCTCCGGTCAGCGTCTCCACTCCGGAGCCAGAGCAGTCCGCTCCACCAGGGTCCAGTCCAGATCCGGTCAGCGGCTCCACTCCGGAGCCAGAGCAGTCCACTCCACCGGTGCCTAGTCCAGCTCCAGTCAGCGGCTCCAGTCCGGAGCCTGAGCAGTCCGCTCCACCGGTGCCTGGTCCAGCTCCGGTCAGCGGCTCCAGTCCAGACCCAGACGTCAGCCCCTCTCCAGGTTCGGGGTCTCCCACGCCAGGGTCCAGACAGGGCTTGGAGTATAGTGGGAGGAAGGAGAGGGGAAGCAGCGCCCCGAGGTCCAGACCAGACCAGGGGCGCAACAGGGAGCCGGAGAATAGATGGTGGTCACGCCCGGAGCCGGATCCGCCTCCGAGGCAGAATGCCCACCCGGCCCCTACCCTGTTAAGTAAAGGTTGTGCGGTCGGAGTCCGCACTTTTGGGGGGGGGGGGGGGGGGGACCCCTTTTTTTTGGGGATTTTTTTGTTGAAAACCCCGGGGGGTTTTTTTCCCAAGGTTAGGGGTTTTTTGTTGTGTTTTGTTTTTCCCTTTTTTCCTTTTTTGGAAAAATCAAACGTTTCCCCCGGGGTTTTTGTGGGTTTTGGGTTTTTAATTTTCCCCCCCTTTAAAAACCCGTTATTTTCAAATTTTTTCACGGGGCAAGGCCTTTTTGTCGTAGTGTGCTGCAGCGGTTGAATAGCTCCATCTGTCTCTGTCCATGTTAATACTCTTCGGTCAGGTGGTTGTACGTATGTACAGTATACGTAAGTTTATCTTTCAAAGTTGCACCTCAAAGCCCTTGATTTGCTGAACTAACTAATATAAAATGTTATATTTATATACATGTAAAAAAAAAAAAAAAAAGAGACATAAATGTCACGATTATGAATAAAGTCTTTGTTTACACTAGTGATGGCAATCTGCCAACCAGACAAACTAGCAATCTTGCTATAGAAATAAAGCATGACTCTGGGGACTCGTATTTGTTGAGTCAGGGTGTGTATTTTCTGTGTAGTATGTTCTGTGTTGCATTTTCTATGTTTAGATCTAGATCATGTAGATCTATGTTGGCCGGTGTGGTTCCCAATCAGAGGCAGCTGTAGCTCGTTGTCTCTGATTGGGGACCATACTTAGGCAGCCTAGTGGGTTGTGGGATCTTGTTCCAGTTAAGGTATGTTGTGTTGTGCTGCCTTGGACTTCACGTTTCGTTTTGTCGGTTGTTTATTCCTTTAAATAAACATGTATGCATATCACGCTGCGCCTTGGTCCGTCCCGTCTGTAAGCGAACGTGACATATAGAGTGGGAATCATCAATCATTGCTCCCAGTGTTTGTATAATGTTTCCCATGCCACAGAGTGTTGTATCTGTTCTATGTGTTCGATTTCTACCCTCACCATGGGGATCAGAGTAGTGACAGTGGGCCGTGGGAGAGCAGCCACGTGCCAGAAGGAGCCCAGGCAGGAGTTTATAGCATCTCTTCAGTAGTAACAAGCTCAGGTCTAAATCTGGCAACCAGCTCAGGACCTGTCTCTAATGCGTGGTCCAGGCCTCGATGTCAGAGCACAGACCATGTTGAGTTGTGACTGTTGGAACTTTGGTAGATGGAAGCAGCAGGCAGCAGAGGATCCAGATTAGTATGAATATAGAATATTCAAATTAGTCAAGACCTTTGGAGAGTATTTGTTTTCTTGGGCATCATGCTCTAATTTTTTTCAGGACTGAAAGAACATTGTTTTGCTATAAAATATCACATTAATGACCATCAGATTAGATTGACCCTGCACCCACACTTTGATTAATTTTCTGAAATGGAATTGGCTCCACCTTATTAACTGCTACCACACTTCCTCCCCTGTCCCCTACCACCTTCTCCCCTCTCCACTCTCCTCAGGCGATGCAGCCCCACCCTTCCCTGACTCCTGTCCCCTCGTGAGCTGAGAGGAGGAACACCCCAGACCTCCTGACAACTCCGAGGGTGGTGGTCGGGTCTCTTGGGGGTCATCATGGTGACCTTTGCGGAGAAGTCGGCGGTGCAGCCCATGCTTCGGGAGCCGTCATGCATCACCACGCACCTGTCCCCCGGGCTGCGGCGCAAACAACTAATGTGGCAGAATGCCATCAAACACATCATCAGCCAACAGGAGATAAATGAGCAGGTGAATTTACGTGACACGTCCAAATCAGCTCTCCTCCTACACTATGAGAAGTGTTAGCCACGTCTTAACTATACACTCTTAGAATAAATGGTGCTATCTAGGACCTAAAATGGTTCTTCGGCTGTTCCCATAGGAGAACCCTTTTTGTTTAGAACCAATGGAACCCAAAAGGGTTCTACCTGGAACCAAAAAGGGTTATTCTATGGGGACAGCCGAAGACCCTTTCTGAACCCTTTTTTCTAAGAGTATGCTGTCCACATTCCTTGCTTCCTTCCTTCCGGAAATCCCTAGACCCACTCCAATTCGCATACCGCCCCAACAGATCCACAGATGACACAATCTCAATCGCACTCCACACTGCCCTTTCCCACCCGGACAAAAGGAACACCTATGTGAAAATGCTGTGCATTGACTACAGCTCAGCGTTCAACACCATAGTGCCCACAAAGCTCATCACTAAGCTAAGGACCCTGGGACTAATCACCTCCCTCTGCAACTGGATCCTGGACTTCCTGACGGGCCGCCCCCAGGTGGTAAGGGTAGGCAACAACACATCTGCCACGCTGATCCTCAACACCGGGGCCCCTCAGGAGTGCGTGCTTAGTCCCGTCCTGTACTCCCTGTTCACCCACAACTGCGTGGCCAAGCACGACTCCAACACCATCATTAAGTTTGCTGATGACACAACAGTGATAGGCCTGATCACCGACAACGATGAGACAGCCTATAGGGAGGAGGTCAGAGACCTGGCAGTGTGGTGCCAGGACAACAACCTCTCCCTCAATGTGAGCAAGACAAAGGAGATGATCGTGGACTACAGGAAAAGGAGGCCCCCATTAACATTGACGGGGCTGTAGTGGAGCTTGTTGAGAGTTTCAAGTTCCTTGATGGCCACATCACCAACAAACTATCATGGTCCAAACACACCAAGACAGTCGTGAAGAGGGCACGACAACACCTTTTCCCCCTCAGGAGACTGAAAAGATTTGGCATGGGTCCCCAGATTCTCAAAAAGTTATACAGCTGCACCATCGAGAGCATCCTGTCTGGTTGCATCACCGCCTGGTATGGCAACTGCTCGGCATCCGACCGTAAGGCGCTACAGAGGGTAGTGTGTACGGCCCAGTACATCACTGGGGCTAAGCTTCCTGCCATCCAGAACCTATATACTAGGCGGTGTCAGAGGAAGGCCCAAAAAATGTCTAAGACTCCAGTCACCCATGTCATAGACTGTTCTCTCTGCTACCGCATGGCAAGTGGTACCGGAGCGCCAAGTCTAGGTCCAAAAGGCTCCTTAACAGCTTCTACTCCCAAGCTATAAGACTGCTGAACAATTAATAAAATGGCCACGCAGACTATTTACATTGTTTTTACACTGCTGCTACTCACTTTTTATTATCTATGCATAGTCACTTTACCCCAACCTACATGAACAGTTGAAGTCGGAAATGTACATACGCCTTAGCCAAATACATTTAAACTCAGTTTTTCACAATTCCTGACATTTAATCCTAGTAAAAATTCCCTGTCTTAGGTCAGTTAGGATCTCCACTTTATTTTAAGAATGTGAAATGTCAGAATAATAGTAGAGAATGATTTATTTCAGCTTTTATTTTTTTCATCACATTCCCAGTGGGTCAGAAGTTTACATACACTCAATTAGTATTTGGTAGCATTGCCTTTAAATTGTTTAACTTGGGTCAAACATTTCGGGTAGCCTTCCACAAGCTTCCCACAATAAGTTGGGTGAATTTCGGCCCATTCCTCCTGACAGAGCTGGTGTAACTGAGTCAGGTTTATAGGCCACCTTGCTCACACACGCTTTTTCAGTTCTGCCCACAAATGTTCTATAGGTTTGAGGTCAGGGCTTTGTGATGGCCACTCCAATACCTTGACTTTGTTGTCCTTAAGCCATTTTGCCACAACTTTGGAAGAATACTTGGGGTCATTGTCCATTTGGAAGACCCATTTGCGACCAAGCTTTAACTTCCTGACTGATATCTTGAGATGTTGCTTCAATATATCCACATAATTTTCCTTCCTCATGATGCCATCTATTTTGTGAAGTGCACCAGTCCCTCCTGCAGCAAATCACCCCCACAGCATGATGCTGCCACCCCGTGCTTCACGGTTGGCTTTTTTAATGACGGTTTTGGAGTAGTGGCTTCGTCCTTGCTGAGCGGCCTTTCAGGTTATGTCGATATAGGACTTGTTTTACTGTGGATATAGATACTTTTGTACCTGTTTCCTCCAGCATCTTCACAAGGTCCTTTGCTGTTGTTCTGGGATTGATTTGCACTTTTCGCACCAAAGTATGTTCATCTCTAGGAGACAAAACACATCTCATTCCTGAGCGGTATGATGGCTGCGTGGTCCCATGGTGTTTATACTTGCGTACTAATGTTTGTACAGATGAACATGATACCTTCAGGCATTTGGAAATTGCTCCCAAGGGATGAACCAGACTTGTGGAGGTGTACAATCTTTTTTCTGAGGTGTTGGCTGATTTCTTAAGATTTTCCCATGATGTCAAGCAAAGAGGCACTGAGTTTGAAGGTAGGCCTTGAAATACATCCACAGGTACACCTCCAATTGACTCAAATGATGTCAATTAGCCTATCAGAAGCTTCTAAAGCCATGACATCATTTTCTGGAATTTTCCAAGTTGTTTAAAGGCACAGTCAACTTAGTGTATGTAAACTTCTGACCCAATGGAATTGTGATACAGTGAATTATAAGTGAAATTATCTGTCTGTAAACAATTGTTGGAAAAATGACTTGTGTCATGCACAAAGAAGATGTCCTAATCGACTTGCCAAAACTATAGTTTGTTAACAAGAAATGTGTGGAGTGGTTGAAAAACTAGTTTTAATGACTCCAACCTAAGTGTATGTAAACTTCCGACCTAAACTGTACAAACTACCTCGACTAACCTGTACCCCCGCACATTGACTCTGTACCAGTACCCCCTGTATATAGCCTCGTTATTGTTATGTCATTTTATATTTTATTGAGTTACTTTTTATTTTTATTTTCTTAACTCTATTTCTTGAACTGCATTGTTGGTTAAGTGCTTGTAAGTAAGCATTTCACGGTAAGGTCTACCCTGTTGTATTCGGCGCATGTGACAAATACATTTTGATTTAATTTGTCTCCTTTTCCTCTTGACCACTAATAGGTAAGGTGAAAGTAGTGTGTCTAGTAGAGTCTTCATTATTTTAACCAAAGGGGCAGGTGGGACTTGATGACTTTACATCATGTTACTCTCACATTTTCAGAAACTCATCTCAGATTAGTAGTCATGAAAATGGGATGAGAAAAACAATTGATTTATATAATATCAATCACACTGTACAGTACAGTGTTGACTTTTAATCTGTGTGTCTTTGTCTATGTCTTTGATAGGTAGGGGTGGAGCCAGCGCGTAAAATCTTCGCCACCGACACCTACATCGACGAGATCAACCGCCAGATCCGCAGCAAGGCCTCACGAGGGGCCACTAAACGCCGCTCCTCGGTCTCCCGCGTCCACCCCCACTACGAGCGCAGCTCCACCAGCACCCACCACAGCGGCTCCCACGGCGACTGCTCCAGCGATGCTGATTTCTTCATGCGCTGGGGCCCCATGGTGCGTGGCGTGTACTTGCCCACGCTACGACACACCTTCAAGTCCCGCGACCTGGAGACGCTCTACCAGCAACACTCCTCCCACCAACGACGCACCTCACTGGCTGTCACCAACGTCATCGACGCCGTGGCCAAACTACACATCCTGGTCCTGTACCTGGCGCTGGTGCCCGAGGCCTCCACGGACGCACTGCGTGGTTGGCTGACGGGTTTATTCATGGGAGTGTCCGTAGTGCTGTGTGTCCTGGTTCTGACTTGTAAGGACTCCATGTCTCCTCAGTGGCTGCGCTACGCTGGTCTGGCTAGCTGGCTGTCCCAGACCACACAGGTGCTGGGTGGCCTGGCCTACGGGCTGGAGAGGGACCCTTCATGGTACGTGCTGTTCACGCTGTTCGCCACCTACACACTGCTCCCACTACCCCTGCTCTGGGCCATGTGCGCCGGCTCACTCACCTCAGCACTAGAACTCCTGGTGGAGATCATCCGTCACTACAATGATGCAGAACTGCTGAGAAAGGTGAGCGAATTGCTGCTGCTTGGTTTTATACAGAGGGAGGTCAGGAGGATTGTTTGTATCGGGATACTCCCTGTCTGAAATGCCCCAGCCATAAACAACATATCAGTTCTATATCTATGGCCCTAGCAGCACATATCCATAATGTATTCATTTATTTTCATGGTTAAAAGCTCGAGATAGAGATTGAGAATATAATACACAGGAGACCAAAAAACCACACATGAGCTTGTGAAAGACCTCTCCCTGCATAGCATCACATGTTAAACCCAAGGATGTGACAATGCTGCTCTGCTGTTCTCTAGTGAGTCCTGTCCCTATTGAGAATCCCGTCCCATGTGATAGCTATAAGCAGCTTGTAGCCCATCCACTACAGTACTACTGTACAACTCTCCTCTTCCTCTCCTCCATTCTTATTCTCCTCTCCATGTGTTGGCCATAGGGCTGCTTTAAACATCTAACCTCTCCTCTCCTCTCCTCTCCTCTCCTCTCCTCTCCTCTCCTCTCCTCTCCTACTAGCACCAGGTGTTGATCACAGGGCTATTGTCCCAGTCTAACCTCCTCCTCCTCCTCTCTTCCTCTCCTCCCTCCAGGTGTTGGCCACAGGGCTGCTGTACTTGGGTATGAACACAGCTGGCCTTTTCATCCACTACCTGACGGACCGCGCCCAGAGACAGGCCTTCCTGGAGACCCGTCGCTGCATCGAGGGGCGCCTCAAACTGGAGCAGGAGAACCAGAGACAGGTACCTACCTACCTTCCCTTCCAAGTAGACAATCTTATTGTTCAAAATGTCAACATTGGCATGTGAAATAATGAGTAGTGTATTAGTGACATCACCCTTGTAAGAGTGGTAAGTGACACTGTTAGTGATTAGTAGCAAGATTTGTGGGGGGCAGTTTCAAACTTGATTGTTACATTTTAGTTCTGATGCAAGCATATTCATTCTCACTAACAGCCCTTTATAGTAACTGCATTTACCCGTCTCATTTTTCATTTGCAACAAGTCTATGTTCACTCTGGTTATGCCTTATCTACATTACATTCACATGCAAATTCAACACAATGTGTTTAATGAAAGATTCTGTATTTTATTCTCAACTGGAAATATATGTAAGGACTGGGTGTGTGAGGATATACAGTTGCATTGACATGACACGGCTGTATTATTAGGACTGATGAGGAAGAAGACTAACTGTATTATGAAGACAGCAGAGGAGGGAGAGTGACAGAGGGTCTGTGTATTTCCCAACAGGAGCGTCTTGTGCTGTCAATCCTGCCTCGCTTTGTTGCCTTGGAGATGATCGCAGACATGAGTGCTTTGGAGGATGAGCTCGTTCCCCAGGAGTTCCACAAGATCTACATCCACCAGTACAAAGATGTCAGGTACACCCACTCGTGCACACATACACACACACACACACACACACACACTGATTTCCAGGCAATAGTGTCTATAGCACATGGACAACACTTTTCAGAGTGATTTAATGACAGAATGGATTAGTACAATAATATGGCAGAGAAAACCGAGGAAAGGATACAGAAAATATATACCGTTTTATCAACTCACACAGTCTGATTATTCGTTATGATTACTTATCGATGCGCTATGTATGTTCATGAGAACACTTGTGATTTTGGTCCCACATTAAGAAATACTACAGTTTACTATAGTATACTACAGTACCTACTATAGAATTCTATATTTAACTGTAGTATACTGTAGAATACTATACTACACACTGTAGTTCCCCTCGATCATGTGTAGTACTTACTATAGAATGTTGTAGAAACTATAGTAAATACTACAGTATTATCCACAAAAACACTATTTATTTAAAATATAGTAAATACTACAGTATTTAATTTGCAGACATTTAATTGACCCATTCCGGTCCCCATATCACAACTTGTGCAACTTATAAGTGAGAACCCTCTCTCCTCCACAGTATCCTGTTTGCTGACATTAAGGGCTTCACACTGCTCTCAATGAACCTGTCAGCCCAGGAGTTGGTCCGCACACTCAACGAGCTCTTTGGGCGCTTTGACCATCTGGCTGAGGTGAGAGAATCCTATAACACTATAGTATAAACCCTGACCACTAACCCTTAACCCTAACCTCTCACTCTAACCCACATACCTTAGACTCTGACCCTTGAACCTTGACCTCTTACCTCACCTCTTTTACATGTAGCCCTGACCCTAACCGCTTTCTCTGGCCCACACACGTCACCTAAACCCTGACCCTAACCTCTGACCTTTAACCCTTTTGACTGAAAGGACAGTATACTGGGGCTTAGCTAGCTCTCCTCATTGCCAAATGCCAAACTGGTGATCCTAACCTTTATCTTCTTTCCTCTCCTTCTCTCTCCCTCCCTTCTACCCCCCGCTCTCCTTCTCTCACCCTCCCTTCTACCCTCCTGCTCTCCTTCTCTCTCTCTCCCTCCCTTCTACCCTTCAACTCTCCTTCTCTCTCCCTTCCTTCTTCCTCCCCTCTCTCCCTTGGTCTCTCTCTCTTTCTGTCCCTGCCCCTTTCTCACTCTGTCTCTGTCTCTCTCTCTCTCTTTCTCTCTCTGTCTCTCTCTCTCTCCCTCTCCACTCACCACAGGAGCACCACTGTATGAGGATAAAGATCCTGGGGGATTGTTACTACTGTGTGTCAGGGGTCCCAGAGCCTCAGCGTGCACATGCTCGCTACTGTGTTGAGATGGGCCTGGCTATGATCAGCACCATACGGTCAGTCCTATCGCCTGATCAGATCTGCATTATAAAATCAGCCACCTAGATCTCACACAGAATCAGTTTATCCAGCTGTACTACTGACCTGTGTGTCTTGCTATTCCAGGTCCGTGCGGAAGCAGCTGAACCATGACATGGACATGCGGATTGGGATCCACTCTGGCTCGGTGTTGTGTGGGGTTCTGGGGCTGCAGAAGTGGCAGTTTGATGTGTGGTCCTGGGACGTGGGCATCGCCAACATGCTGGAGGCAGGGGGCATCCCTGGGTTGGTGACACTGACACCCCCATCCCCTCCCCCAGAATACATCTAGCTACATGTTCATTAGCTAAGCATTCATCACTTTGTTTAAAGGTGTAGTCAAAATTACGTTTTTCTTTGTTTTGTATCATATTGTACAACAGCTGATGAAACTAACAGTGTAAAATGTTTTATTTCCTGATAGTTGCTGATTGAAAATACAATCTACACAGAACCTTCAGCAGGTTTTGCATGGGTGGAGTTTCGGCTTGTCTGGTGACATCGCCAGGCGGTAAATTAGTTAATAGACCAATAACAAAGGAAGTTCCAAACCTCTCTGACAATATCAGCAGTGGTGTAAAGTACTTAAGTTAAAATACTTTAAAATACTACTTAAGTCATTTTTTGGGGTATCTGTACTTTGGTTTACTATTTATATTTTTTTTACAACTTTTACTTTTACTTCACTACATTCCTAAAGAAAATAATGTACATTTTCCCTGACACCCAAAAGTACTCATTACATTTTGAATGCTTAGCAAGAAAGGAAAATGGTCAAATTCCGCACTTATCAATTGAACATCCCTGGTCGTCTCTACTGCCTCTGATCTGGCGGACTCACTAAACACAAATGCTTCGTATGTAAATAATGTCTGAGTGTTGGAGTGTGCCCCTGGCTATCCATAAAAATAAAATAATAATAATAATAATTGTGCCATCTGGTTTGCTTAATATAAGGGATTTGAAATTATTTATACTTTTACTGTTACTTTTGATACTTAAGTATGTTTAAAACCAAATACTTTTAGGCTTTTACTCAAGTAGTATTTTACTGGGTGATTTTCACATTTTCTATTAAGGTATCTTTACTTTTACTCAAGTATGACAATTGGGTACTTTTTCCACCACTGAATAATAGCTAGTTTTCAGTTTTCCGCTCCCCACTCAGACCACTTCCAGACAGTCCTAGCAAAATTATTGCTTGAGAAAAAGTTTTGAGCTAAAAAGCTAAAAGGAAAACTATTACAGTAAGGTACTTGTTACACAGAAATGATTTAATATTGATATAAAAACGGCTGCATTGGGCCTTAAACTGGATTCCGTAGCGATGAAAATGCCACATCTGTTTGCGAACAACAAAGATATTACTTCAAACAATGAACACCGTTTTTTCCCACTTGCACATCATTGCATGCATGATAGAACAGGTGCAGGATGCTTCTCTGCCCCATTTAAAAAACAAACAAAAACAATAACAAATGTGCCTGGGGCGACTAGGTAGCGCTTTTTCATCTTATATGGATATCAGCTTTAACATGTGTACCAAAAGTCCAAACTGTGAAATCAACTTATCTGCTATCTAAATAGCATTGGCTTACTTGCACCACTCCACTCTACCATCATGTTTATTGGTGTGATGTCGCCCCGTCTCCTTCCCCAGCCGGATCCACATCTCCCGGGCAACTCTGGACAGTCTGGAGGGGAACTACAAGACAGAGGACGGCCATGGCCATGAGAGGAATGAGTTCCTGAAGAAACACAACATCGACACTTTCCTCATCTGCCACAAGGAGGATGGGCCCGGGCCCACCCCAGTGGCCCCTGAGCCCACCAAAACCCAGATATCCAGCCAGACCTGGAATACGGAGCTGCCCTTTGGGAATATCATCGACATGAACTGTGTAGGAGGAGAATTTGGAGAATCCCACTATCACTTTCTCTCACTAGTTTTTCTTGAGTAGTTGCTAAAAGTTATCGGTATAAAGGCTGGCAATCTTATTCCTGACTTCTGACCTTTCACCTCTGATCTCACAGATCCTGGCCTCCTTCACCAATGGCTCCCTGGCGCAGCTGCCAAACTCATCATCACGGCAATCAGCCTCCAAGGAGATCAACAAGCGGATCGAGCACGCCATCGAGTTGCGCAGCAGCGAGCGCATGCGCAAGGAGCACATCACCCCGGTCACGCTGGTGTTTAAAGACGCTAACATCGAGGACAAGGTAAGGCGGGAGGAGGGAGGGGGGATGGTTTTAAGGGCACTAGGTAGGGGGTAAGGGGATAAAGGTAAGCCAGAGAGCCATAAAGTATGCATACAAGAGAGGGGGATGTGATGATGGTAGAGTGGGTGCAAGTAGGCCTATGCCATTTCGTTAGACCTATACTATTTGTAGGTAGTTGATATCAGTTAATTGTAGCATTGCACTTGTAGCAAATGGCAGCTTGTATTAAATGGTACGGATCACAATGTGCTTTCATAATGTTTTTCCTCTGTGTCTCAGTTTTCCCAGATGAGAGACGAGATGTTCAACTCCAACCTGATCTGCTCCTTCATCATGCTCCTCTTCCTCATGGCTGTCCAGGCCCTCATCCCCGCCCCCAGGTAGACAGACAGCACCCACTGGCCAATCACAGCTTTAACTCTGTGTCTAAGCAGTTTCTTTGAGCCAATAGGATTGGATTTGGATTGTGTTCTAAATAATCAGGATAATCTAGATAGGAAACATGTCTCCCTCTTGTCCTTTTCATTCTATCCTACATACCAGTACCCTTTCCATCATTCTTCTGTACACTCTAAGAAAAAAGAGTTCCAAAAGGGTTCTTCAGCTGTCCCCATAGGAGAACCCTTTTTGGTTCCAGGTAGAACTCTTTTGGGTTCCATGTAGAACCCTCTGTGGAAAGGGTTCTACATGGAACTCAAAAGGGTTCTTCAAAGGGTTATCCTATGGGGACAGCCAATGAACCCTTTTAGGTTTTACATAGAAACTTTCTTTCTAAGAGTGCACCCCTCCTCCCATCACCCATCCATCTCTCTTAATTCCCCCTCAATCTCCCCCTTATCTCAGGCTCTCCTTAACCACTTTGTCTTCAACCAATGACTCATTCTTTCCTCCCTATTTTACCTCCTTCTTCACTATTCTCATCCCTCTCTCCTCTCTCTCTCCTCTCTGTAGGCCGTACCCGGCAGTGCTCCAGTTCTCTCTCTTCCTGCTGGCCTATATGTTGCTGCTGCTGATGGCTTTGGCTGAGGAGTTTAAGCAGGCCCCTCCGGCGCTACTACAGCTCTGCTGCTGGTTCCATGAGAACAACAGCGCCCGCAACCTCCTCACCCTCACTGCCATCGCTATTAACTTCGGCCTGGCCTCCACCGACATGGTGAGTACCAGCCAGGTTTGGGGTCCATTTCATTTAAATTCAGTCATTTCCAGACTGGATTTTCAATGAAACTGCATTTATGAACAAAATAAGTATGAATAAATGGATGGCCTGGTATCAACGTATCATAGAAATATATAATTAGCACCAATAGAGTTTAGAAAGATATGTATGGTGAGTACTGGAAGGACTGAGAGTTTTACTCCTTTCTTATCATGAGCTGCATTACTCAATGTCCGTGCTTCACTCCTGCACCGTCAAACTCTTCTGGTGAAAATGAGAAACCCCATGAATTCTACTGATTGTTTCCATCATGTGTCTGATTTGAGGTCCAGTAGGACATGAGGATGGTGTTGTGTAGTTGACTGTCCTGCTTCACTCCTCTCTCTGTCTGCTCTGGTCCAGGTGTGGTGCATTCTGAGGGACTCTGCTATAGCAGAGGGGCAGGGGACAGACAGGGCCAGCACAGATACAGACACACCCAGCCAATGGATTCTCACTGCCTGCACCTACCCAGAGGTAAGACAGACTTCTCTGAGAGACAAATGTGGATTGTGGAGTGTGGATTTATCACAGTGTGATCATACACATTTCTCAACCCCTCCTCTCTAATATATTATCTGTTGAAGATTCACTAGACATACACATGCATCCATTTAAGACAATAAATAACACTGTCCCTTCCTCTCTCTCCCCCCTCCCTCCCTTCCCTCCCTCCCTCCGTCCCTCTCTGTCTCTCTCCCTCCCTCCGTCCCTCTCTCTCTCGCTCTCCCTCTCTCCCTCTCTCTCCTGTGTTCTATAGTTTTTTGTGCTGAGTGGGGTGATAGCCATGGTGACATGTGCGGTGTTCCTCAGGCTGAGTTCTCTGTTGAAGCTAGCTGTGCTGCTATTGGTGGTGGCTGTCTACTCCTACTTTATACAGGTGGCATTCCACATCCTTTATGTCAACCAGCAAGAGCAGGACCTCCTCCTGCACAGGTACGCACACACACAAATATCACACACATACAAATATCACATATAAAGTATAACAAATAACATTTTACATTTACATTTTAGTCATTTAGCAGACGCTCTTATCCAGAGCGACTTACAGTTAGTGAGTGCATACATTTTTCATACTGGCCCCCCGTGGGAATAACATATAACAAATATCACGCGGCAGGTAGCCTAGCGGTTAAGCGCGTTGGGCCAGTAACCGAGAGGTTGCTGGTTAAAATCCCAGAGCCGGCAAGGTGGAAAAATCTGCCATTCTACCCTTGAGCAAGGCAGTAAACCACCAACAACAACTGCTCCCTGTGCGCTATTGATGTTGATTAAGAGGGGTTGGGTTAAATACAGGAGACACATTTCACTTGTGCAACTGACTAGGTATCTCCCTACACTCTAAATCAATATTGTGTGGGATTTGGCTATGAGTTGTCCATTACCAATTGAACACTTGGTTGATTTTATCACTCAAATTCTAATCTTTCTGTCTCTTCCTTCGTGTGTCACACACACACAGGTCTCACTACCTCAGGAGGAAGGGCATCTCCATCCTCCTCATGACCATGTTTGTTGTTGCTGTGTTCTACAATGGAAGACAAGTACAGTAACACACAACAGTCCTTACCTTTTATTTCAGTAGCGCTCCCCGAGGCATCTTATTGTGTTAAGCAGTTATGTAGCTGCAACTGATGTGTCCGTAACTTATTCAAGTTTATTGAGTCACCATCATCCCTCAGTAAAGTAAAGTCTATTTGTGATTGGCTGTTCCTTGTCATCAAGTGGGAGGCGACAGCGAGGCTGGACTTCCTATGGCGTCTGCAGGCTCAGCAGGAAGTGGAGGACATGAGGGAGCTGCGGGAGCACAACGGGTATCTGCTGAACAACATCCTGCCATCGCACGTCGCAAGACACTTCCTGGAGAGGGGCAGGAACAACGAGGTACAGAAAACGCCATGACACTGTATAGGCTACTGAATATCCTGATTCCAAAACAATCCCTTGCACATGTCCATTAGCCTGGTCCCAGATCTGTTTGTGTTGCCTTGTCAACTCCTATAGTCATGTTTTGGCAAGACCGCACAAACACATCTGGGACCAGGGAACCTATTGTCGTATCGGGTGAATGGTGGCCATTATTGCTGTCAACAAAGAGTCCGTTTATGCTGCATCGTGTCAGAGGCTTTTATTAAAATCACGAGGTTACAGCATAAATGACAGGTGACATGACACCCGGGGAGCAACGCCTCAGAATGGCTGCTCGTTCTCCCTTTCTTCTTCGTTTTCCCCCCTATTTATAAACACTGATGCTCCCTCTTCTGGCCAATCACCAGTCTCCCCTGTCTACAACACACTTCCGGTCTGCTGTATATGGCGTTACACCTAAAACATTCCCTCTTGATACTAACATAAACACCATTCCATTTCTTCATGAAAAACATTTAACAAAGGCATAATCTTCAGATACGATACTATCCTCAGGTCTCTTCACATCACAGATCAGATAGGTTAAAGGAAATGCCTATTAAACAATCAAGTTCATATTAACTTCTCAATGTGTGTCCTTTCTCCCTTCTTCAGGAGCTGTACTCCCAGTCCTATGAGGAGGTGGGGGTGATGTTTGCCTCAGTCGCAGGGTTCACCGACTACTATGAGAAGAAGGAGATCAAACACGAGGGGGTCGACAGCCTCCGACTGCTCAACGAGATCATCGCTGACTTTGACGAGGTGAGGGTGAGACGAGGAGGGGGTACGGCCCAGGCAGAGTTTTGCAATGTGTTGGAACACCAGATATTTTCTCTCACTTTCCATCCCAACAAATAAAAGTGGAACTGACAGCGTTTTAACTACTTTGCAGATATGAAATATACAGACAATCATAATATCAGTCAAAAATATCAAATTCCCAGTTTACGCTACAAAATTTTTTAAAATCTGTCCTATTTTACTCAAAATGCAGTTCAATGCATGATTAACATAATTCACCAATACATGTCTTGGTCCCAAAAAAATTGCTATCAGGATGTAAATCACAGCTGGCCTGGTACATTGTTTGCTGCCTCCACCCATTCGGGATGCACTGTTTGAGTTTCAATGATTTAATATTTTGGACAAAAACGTACACATTTAATTAAAGCTGGGAATGTCAATACAATCAAACTAGCAAGGTCAATGATCACAAGTCAGTCATAACGTGGTTTATAGACTAGCGTACCTATTTATGTAGCAATTTATTTTGCAAGCTAAAAACACAAAGCCTAACGTTAACTAGCTAGCTAGCTGCTGGGAGGATGTCATGTCATTGGAGGAGTGGGTGAGTGGACTACTTTTTCCCATCGTATCGTTTTTCGGTGGCTACAGCTGGAGATGCAGGTGTTATTTGGTTAACTAGCATGAAATGTGAATCGCTTTGCTAGCTAGCTAGCTAGCTATGCTGAACTTGAAGGACTGTTATCCACAGTTAGCATGCATATTTCTTAGTTGTCAATTAAATGTATTTGGCAGGCAGTTCTCATTCAGTTTTCAAAACGTGGGTTGGAACAAGCATGCATTGGCAGGCAAGCTGCAGAAGGGCGAGCAGGCTACTATTCCCCATCGTTTATCATTGCAATTCTGACGGACAACTACAAGTTGAAAAAGTTTGAGAGGGTTTATCTGCTCTTTTCTCGTTAGAGTTTAGCTCATCTCGCTCTGGCTAACATTAGTTGTTGATCTAGGGAGAGATAGCCTACATGTTCATGGTTGTTTGATCAATAGGACTGTAAAGTTCCCAAATGTAAGAGGACTCCTGTGGTATTTACATATTTGCAGAAATCCATTCAGGTGTATTTGTGGCTTTTGGTGAATGCTTTCTAATGGTCTAAAGTCACGCTGTTGCTACTGTCTGTAAACACCCAGTCCAGTTCAAAGTCAATGATGGCTGGCCCGTGTGGCAAATGGCTTATTTGCATGTAGGCCTACTGTAGCTCTGATTGGCTATGGCGCACCGGTCTGTCTGTCTAGAGTCCGGTCCTGGACAAGACTGACATGTTATTATTAGGTTTTATTTACTGCAGTGTCTATTAATTGTCCAAATGCATGGCCGCTTTCCCACTATATATTGCTATAGAATTTTCACAAATGCCTTTCTCATTCCCAAACATTCTATGAAAACGTGAAAATGACCATATCTAAGTGCTTGCTTGTCAGAAAATGTAAAAAATAAAATAAAAGGCGGCATGTTCTTCTTGGAGGTGTATATGAACAGGTTTTTATCTAGTCAAGTCCTAATTTTTTGTTAAGTAAAAACATTTTTTCTGAGGTGAGCTTCCTCACTGTCTTTCTTTCATTCTCACTCACTTTGTCTTTTCCGTCTTTCTTTCCCTCCCTACTCCTTCTCTCTCTTCACACTAGCTGTTGGAGGAGTTCTATTTTCATGACATTGAGAAGATCAAGACCATCGGCAGCTGTTACATGGCAGCATCTGGCTTATCTCCAGACAGACAGGTACTGCAACATCCTTTAGTCATCTGGGTACCAAACCAAACATACATTTTTGGATGTGTCATCATAACTCTTCAAAGAGGGGTTGCCTCAGGAAAAGTAGAGAAGGGACTTACCGAAAAATGTATTTTCCTTATTGCTGTCCTCTTGTTCTTTCTATCCTGTCTTTCTCACGAACCTCCCTCCCTCACACACACACACACACGCACATTCAAAGTCGCAGTCCCATGGACGTGTGAATGGGTGGCACCACCTGAGTGAGCTGGTCCTGTTTGCCTTGGCCATGCAGGAGACCCTGAGAGAGATCAACAAAAAATCTCACAACAGCTTCCAGCTCCGTGTGGGTAAGAGACAACAACAGAGACTATACACAGAGAGACTATGCTCAGACAGACCTACGCAGACATATGGGCCTAAACTACATGTTTTATGATACTCAATAATGATCAATAAGATGGTGGTTCTCTCTGTTTGAGATGATACAGTAGATCAGTCAAGATTGCATTCTCTCTCACACAATAGCCAGCTAGCACTAACATTCTGAGAACCATATGCTTCTTAGAGCTTGGTGAGAGCGTGGTTGTCCTATGGTTATTTTTGCACACAACCTTCCCACAACTTTCTGGGAATGGTGCAGGATAGTTGCTTAGCTTTGGAACATTCTCAGCACATTTAAGGAAGTTTCCTAAAGGTTTCAAATATGGTTAAATTTAATTTCAATTTTGGTAATGTTCTAAGAACGTTCTTCAACGGTTTTGACATTGAGTATGTTCTCAAATAGTTCAGTGAACGTAAAGAAACAATGTTCTTCTGTGGGAATTTCACTACTTCAGCATAACGTTTCCTACAGGTTTCCTCATGGTTCTATTTAAAGTCATGTTCTCATTGTTCCAAGAAAAAAGACTTTCCATAAAAACCACAAGACAACTTGAGTAATGTTCAGAGAACGTTCTAAGAATTTTATTTTAAAATATATACATTCTGTCAACAAAACTTTCTCTATCCTCTATCTTGTTAAGTGTGTTCAAGTGTGTTGTCCGCGCCCACTAATTGGCCATAACTGATCTTAATGAGTGTTTGTTTCCTTTGAAATGGGTTTTAAAATGAACAGCTTTGTATGCGTAAAAAACATGGCTTGCTAGTTCCATCCTGATGGCGCAGTGGACTAATTCCATGGATAGAGAACCAAAGATTATAGGGTCGAATCTCACTGATGCCGTGTCATGATAAAACATTTATGTGTTTGTGTGAGTAATGCCTAAGGAATGAATTTCCATGTGTCCTATCTGTGCTTGTAGTTTAAGAAAGTTAACACAAAATAAGCTAACAGTGTTATTAAAAGTCTTATTGAAACATTCAGTGAAAGTTTTAAGGAAGTTACTAAAACCTTCAGAGCGTTAATAAAACCTCAGAGAAAACATTTCAAGGAACCAGAGTAAAACGTTCCCAGGACCTCCCTGCAACCTAAAAATAAATGTTCCCAGAACAGGCGAAATGTTCACTTCTGCTCTCGGAACGTTTAAAAAAACGTTCAGTTATAGCAGTCAGGAAACGTATGGATTCATTCCTACAACCAATGTGAAACCAAAAACATATGTTCTCACAACTTCCAAGGAACCAAATGTGCTAGCTGGGTAAATACTGATTACACTGTAATAAGCTTAAAACTTTTACTAAGTCAATACTCATCCAATCAAGCCTCTCCACGTTTATTTCTAACCACCACTCAGGCATCGCTCATGGGCCTGTGGTTGCCGGGGTGATCGGCGCAACCAAGCCTCAATATGACATCTGGGGGACGACGGTGAACCTGTCGAGCCGCATGGACAGCACAGGCGTGAGTGGCCGCATCCAGGTGCCCGAGGCCACACGCGGGATCCTGGCTGCCTGGGGCTTCGTCCTGGAGCTGAGAGGACAGATCTACATCAAGGGGGTGAGGATCCAGAATATGTATATCTCTCAAATGATACCCTATACCCCACATTGTGCACTGCTGTTGTCCAGAGCCCTATGGGGCTATAGTATATAGTACTATACACTTCAAGAGGAATTCAGAAAATTAGGATATCGCTTTCTAATCAGGTTTTTTGTGTTATTGTAGGTGAGCGAGCGGCAGGGGAAGGTCCGGACTTACTTCATCAACAGCAGTCACGCCCAAAGGGCCAGTAACAGGACTTGGGGACGGTCAGTGGGGCGATCGGAGGGCAGGAACACCCTGGCAGCGGTGGTGTTTGGTCTGGTACAGTCCAGGCAGAAGGAGAAGCAGAGAGAGGCCAACAGAGTGTTGTTCAGCATGGCCCCCAGCAGCGGACAGTGCTAACAGAAGATTCTAGAGAGACCAACAAAGGAGGTCAGAGTTCAGACTGACTGAGCACTTCCTGTTTAGGGGGTCAGGACTTCCTATGTCATGAGTCGTCCAGCACTGACTTGAAACACCACAGTGGTGGATTAGCTGGTTGATCCTCAGAGAGAGAGAGAAGATATACTGTATGTAGTGATTCTCGTGAGGAGACAACTGTACAGAACATGGGACCAAGTGCCCCAGGGGCTAAAGTAGGTATTTTGTTGGGTCGGTTCAAGGGACACATTGGGTGTCACATTAAACATTATCCAGAGGACTTTCTCTTTGGCCCACAAAACTCTGTCTTGATTCGACCAGGAGGATCTACTGTCAATCTTAGTTCCACTGAGTTTAAACAATCCCCGTTAGGATGCTAATTGCTTTTTTATTACCATATCTACATATACAGTAGATATTTGTTACATGTGTTTTCATGTTTATTTCTTACCTGACTGAGGCCAACACAGTGCACTACTCTTATAGAAATCTTATCCGTGCAGGACATTTGATTACTGTAAGTGGTTGATTTACTGTAAGTATTCACTGTAAGCGGAGTACACTGTATTTACATAATGATGTAAAAAACTCTGCAGTTTACATGTTCGATTAGAGTCCAGACCTCTAAGCCATAATAATAAATGCCTCACTTCATAATCACTGTCCCGAGATGAACTGTGCAACCTATTTTGTATCATAGACGTTCAATCGCTGGATTAATTTAGTGTAAAGTAGTGCATACATTTTTGTAAACTATACACAATTTTGTAATGTTTTTATTACGATGTATAATATGATTGTTAATCGAGAGAACACATTGTTTAAATACATTGTTTGATCTGTGTAGTGATAAACACCCAAGTGTATTTCGCTACACATTGTGGTGAAGGGCAATTCTATGGTAACACTGTTCTTCAATTAAATGTGTTTTTGTTACATTTTCTGTGGAAATTGTCAAAAGTCGTCCTTGTGCATAGAGTTGTATGGTTTGTTTAACTTTGGAAAAATCTGAGTCTCAGCATCACTCTATTAACGTGGCTTTGCCCTGAAGATGATTTTATTTGGTTCTGTCAATGAGTGGAACCTCATTGAGCTTACTTTACCTCACACAATTCACTGCACAACAACTTATATAACCTGCTGGTGTTTGTACACTACTCAGGTCATTCACTGTGAATGGTCAGTCACCCTGATGAAGGCTGTTGTAGTCGCAACGCATTGGTAGGTTCTTTATTCTTCCCATGCATAAGCTGTAAAATATTAAAATATTTTAAATTTCTCCACTACAGGAGTGCCTTGATTTCTTCTGGAAGTTTGTTTACTGTCCAGCATCAACTTATTTTTGTTCTATAGTATTTCATCCCATGATCAAAGAGCACCTCATGGATTAACTATAACCAAAGAAGCGCTGCTCTCCTATGTCTTCTCATTCACTGTGATGTTTAGGGAGCGTTCAAATGAAAACTACCATGGAAACTATTATGTATCCAGACTCAAAGATTGGTGTAATTATAAATTAGTGTCAAATATATGTCAAACTTGCATTCTGTGACCTATTTCAACATAGCCACATGATGTCGCCTTGGCATACAACCTGGACATTTTGTCTGCCTAGTATTAAAGAATAAACAACTGTCTATAGTCCTCCAGTGCAGAATAGGCAACTGTCTATAGTCCTCCAGTGCAGAATAGGCAACTGTCTATAGTCCTCCAGTGCAGAATAGGCAACTGTCTATAGTCCTCCAGTGCAGAATAGGCAACTGTCTATAGTCCTCCAGTGCAGAATAGGCAACTGTCTATAGTCCTCCAGTGCAGAATAGGCAACTGTCTATAGTCCTCCAGTGCAGAATAGGCAACTGTATGTGGCTTGGCTTTTTGTCACTCCAGTTTCTTCATCACAACCATGATTTTCACTTCCTATTTGTGTCAAATCGTATTTAAAGAAAATAGTCTGATTGATATGTATTAAAAAGGTAAACAGTACTACAACTTCTTAATACAAGGTATGTTGCCCAGACTGTAGTGATGGCGCTGTTTAACTGTTTCGTGGTTCATATATTTATTTTTCCACATTTTGTACTGAAATGTTTATAGAATACATTTTTTATGCTAATAAGAGTAATGAAAATGAAAATAGACTTGCTTTTCCTTGTAGAGCAAACTGTGTGTGTTTTGGAAGAGGTGTGCACCTGCAGAAGGAGAGAAGAAGATGGAGAAGAGCAGGGGAGAACGTTTGCACCCCTGACATTAGTGGTTTGTACTGTACCGCTGAAATACAAATAGGTTTGGCCAATTAGGAATATCTCACTGCTTATACTGTATTATTACCACTGCCACTCACGAGGACTATGATTCTCCATGACCTATGTAAGGCATTTAAGCGTGTTAACCCTCGCAAGACTGCTGGCCCAGATGGCATCTCTAGGCGCGTCCTCAGAGCATGTGAAGACCACCCTTGTGAAAAAAGATAGCAGTCTGAGTGCAGTATAATGCAAATACTTTGGCCAAAATAATAACGTTTTTTTTACTGCATTAATTTTGCAATCTCTGTGTCCAAAATATCACAGTCGACTGCAGTTACTGGACTTTTACTGCAGTTTCAAAACTGCAATCTGTTTTTGTAAGGGCAGCTGGCTGGAGTGTTTACAGACATGTTCAATCTCTCCCTATCCCAGTCTGTTGTCCCCACTTGCTTCAAGATGTCCACCATTGTTCCTGTACCCAAGAAAGCAAAGGTAACTGAACTAAATGACTATCGCCCCGTAGCACTCACTTCTGTCATCATGAAGTGCTTTGAGAGGCTAGTTAAGGATCATATCACCTCCACCTTACCCAACATCCTAGACCAGGGATAGGCAATCCTGGTCCTGGAAGACCAGGTGTGTTGAATTTAGGCAATCACTGAACTGATCAACTAGCTCAGTTGGCCATGTGTGTTGCCTAGTTAGAACAAAATCCTGCAGTACTTGCGGCACTCCAGGAACAGGGTTGCCTAGCCCTTCTCTAGACCCACAATTTGGGTACCGCCCCAACAGATCCACGGATGACACAATCGTCATCGCAATGCACACTGCCCTATCCTATCTGGACAAGTGGAATACCTATGTAAGAATGCTGTTCATTGACTACAGCTCAGCCTTCAACATCATAGTGTCCTCCAAGCTTATCACTATGGTCAGGGCCCTCGGTCTGAACCCCGCCGGGGTTATTCATGGGAGTGTCCGTAGTGCTGTGTGTCCTGGTTCTGACTTGTAAGGACTCCATGTCTCCTCAGTGGCTGCGCTACGCTGGTCTGGCTAGCAGGCTGTCCCAGACCACACGGGCTGGACCCTTCATGGTACGTGCTGTTCATGCTGTTCGCCATGTCTACTCTGATCTCACTACCCCTGCTCTGGGCCCATAGCCGCAGGAAGTAGTTTGGGGGTGTGGGTGCTGCAATTTATTTCATTGACAGGGGTGCCTGCACTGCAGACGGCTATATCGGTTCGCTTATTAAAGGCCCAGTGCACTCCTTTTGTGATTTCTTTTTTTTCTTCTAATTATTATTATTTTTAATTCACCCCTACTTCCCGCGGCTATGTCTGAGCCATGTGTGCTGGCTCGCTCACCTCAGCACTGCACGTCTTGGTGGACATCATCTGTCAATACAATGATGTGGAACTGCTGATAAAGGTGAGGGAATCACTGCTGCTTGGTTTTACAGCACATTTCCATAATGTTTTTATATATTTTCATGGTTAAAAGCTCGAGATAGAGATTGAGAATATTATACACAGGAGACCTAAAAACCACACGAGCTTGTGAAAGACCTCTCCCTGCATAGCATCACATGTTAAACCCAAGGATGTGACGTTGCTGCTCTCTGCTGTTCTATAGTGAGTCCTGTCCCTATTGAGAATCCCGTCCCATGTGATAGCTATAAGCAGCTTGTAGCCCATCCACTACAGTACTACTGTACAACTCTCCTCTTCCTCTCCTCCATTCTTATCCTCCTCGCCATGTGTTGGCCATAGGGCTGCTTTAAACATATAACCCCTTTCTAACACCCCTAAAACCTATCTAACACATGTCTAACCCCCTCTTCTCCTCCTCTCATCCCCCTCTCTCCAGGTGTTGGCCACAGGGCTGCTGTACCTGGGTATGTACACAGATGACCTGTTCATCCACTACCTGACGGACCACGCCCAGAGACAGGCCTTCCTGGAGACACGCCGCTGCATCGAGGGGCGCCTCAAACTGGAGCAGGACAACCAGAGACCTACCGTACCCTCCAAGTAGACACTCTTACTGCTGAAAAGGGTCAACATTGGCGTGTGTAACAATGTGAAGTGTTGTAGGAGTGGCAAGTGACACTGTTAATGGTTAGGAGCAGGATTTGTGGGGGGGCAGTTTCAAACTTTATTTTTGTTTGATTTCTCAGGCAAGCATATTCATTCTCACTAACAGCCCTTTATGGTAACTGCATTTACTCCCAGTCAAATTTTTCATTTGCAACAAGTCTATGTTCACTCTGGTTATGCCTTATCTACATTACATTCACATGCAAATTCAACACAATGTGTTTAATGAAAGATTCTGTATTTTATTCTCAACTGGAAATATATGTAAGGACTGGGTGTGTGAGGATATACAGTTGCATTGACATGACACGGCTGTATTATTAGGACTGATGAGGAAGAAGACTAACTGTATTATGAAGACAGCAGAGGAGGGAGAGTGACAGAGGGTCTGTGTATTTCCCAACAGGAGCGTCTTGTGCTGTCAATCCTGCCTCGCTTTGTTGCCTTGGAGATGATCGCAGACATGTGTGCTTTGGAGGACGAGCTCGTTCCCCAGGAGTTCCACAAGATCTACATCCACCAGTACAAAGATGTCAGGTACACCCACTCGTGCACACACACACACACACACACACACACACACACTGAAATTCCAGGAAATAGTGTCTATAGCACATGGACAACAATTTTCAGATTGATTTAATCACAGAATGGATTAGTACAATAATATGGCAGAGAAAACCGAGGAAAGGATACAGAAAATATATACCGTTTTATCAACACACACAGTCTGATTATTCATTATGATTACTTATCGATGCGCTATGTATGTTCATGAGAACTCTTGTGATTTTGGAGGGTTCCAGTGCTACATCGAGAATGATACCAAAACAGTCCTCTAACAACAGCATCATAATGCTGCAACCCACTGGGCACACACTGCTTGAATCAACATTGTTTCCACGTCATTTCAATGAAATTATGTTGAACCAATGTAGAAAATACACTGTATTGGGGTCTGTGCCCAGTAGGATGGGACTGACTCTTTGCAGTACAAGTTGAGCAGAAGGGGTATTCAGCTCCAATGGAAAATACACAGAAAAAAAATATGTTACAGCAAAAAGACAAAATTAAAGATTATTATGCATTTGAAATGTTACTGTAATGACACTGAATGTCATCAAAAAATAGTACATCTAGATTTCATTGTGCCATATATTGTTGCAAACCAAGAGGGATGTTCAGGTGGAGTGTCACAGATATTGTCAACATCACACTGACTCTCACTGCCCCCAGAACTACCCTCACCATTTATATTTGTCTGACACTTATCTGGAAAAACCTTAAGAAAGACATTTGTTTCTGTAGAATGGTAATGATTTTTCAGTTCAGTGTGCAGGTTGTCCAGAGTTATTGGCAGGATGATTTTCTTGTTTTGGTCCTTTAAAATAATCTCTTCCTCGTTTTTTGCCCAGTGTGCCATGGACCCCCACTTGCCAAGCTCGTACTCGCAGCAGAAGGCCGTCCACATAAAGTCGGGGATGTTGACCCTATTTTTGATTGTGTTTTCGCCAGGAACAGCTCCTGTCACTACATAGGCCATGGGTTCGGCAAGGTTGCATTTGCAGTGCTTATCCATGATGTATTTCACTTTCTTCTCCATAGCACACCAACTCCCTCCGTTGAAGGTAGTCTTTTGGGGGACGATGTTGGTCAGGGTGCAGGTGGAGAGTGAACTGTCTTTGTCATGTGCGTGTTGCATTGGGAAAATATGGCCTCTGCTTACCTTATGATCACTGCTATTTGCCGCCTCATTCAAGTAGTCATCGTAAGTAGCTTGATGATTTTTTATGTCCCCTTTATTTATTCTCTTCATTATAGCACTCTGCTCTCCATCCAGCTGTGGATACAATACATATTGCCTTAAAGATATTGCTGTATAATCTGGTTTACATTTTGTGACAAAATATATTCTACATTATTTTTTATAATTTATGTATTTAAACATTGTTGTATCCTTTGGCTAATGGTTGCAGAGAGATGACAAAATACAAAATCAAACTGAACAAGAAATATTAATTTAAGGTTAATAAATACAGTACCTGAGGCTCATACATCCAGATTCTTTTTTGGGATTCATAACTGCCCTTGTAAGTATAGGCAGAAAACACTGGGATCTTGTTTTCTGTGTCGTAGAGTGTTGCAAATGTGTATGGATTTGAATCTTTCAATTTCTGGCATATCAGCTTGTAGCGATTCTGTTCTTGATTATTTGAACTAGTATGCAGAACATCAGGGATCACTGGAGTTGTCCCGTCCAGAAAAAACGAAAGGCAATTATCCTCTCTGAATTCTGTCACCACATGAGAGAGGCTGAGAGGAGAGCAGAGGATTAGCAGGAACACAGAGAGACTCACGCCCACCAGCATCATCTTTAGGGTTACACGTAGAGGTTTTGCAATCTGAATATGAAGTTTTCAGACTGTCTGTCTGATATGAGTATTGTACACCGTTATATACTCTGTTAGAGACTGAGAACCAACCCACAGGGTCTTGGACAAATGTCACTAAGTGAATTTGAATCATATTTGAATGGAGGTGTCCATATAAGGAAACCTGTACTCTGTCAGGTCTGAGTGGTTTATGACTCCCACATGTGCTGCACATGCGCACACACACACATGCACGCACTCACACACACACAAACACACACACACTGCACAGAGATCACCTTTAGTCAGGCCCTTATCTCTTCACTCTTGTGTTGAGCTGTTTGCCTATATACCTTTTAACATGCAAAATCCAGTATCAGTCACACTTGAGAAGATGTGCTGGTACTGTAAGTGAGATATGCTCTATCGGTGAATGTGACAGGCTTGTTTCATTCAAAGTAAGTGTGAAGATAGTTTGAAGTGTAACGTTAGTTTGCCTTTTGATAACATGCAAAACCGAAAAGTCGCACCGCAAACTGAAGATGTATATTTTTATGCTCATGTATCCATTTAGTGCAATTCACACTACTGCAGAGGGTTCTCTTTCGTGACAAATGGCAATACAATTAATTATCCATAGTCCTAAAACAAGTTAACTGCCCCCTTCCCTCCGTTCCCCTCTCTCTCTCTCTCTACATTATTGTCTTCCTATCCCTCTCTCCTACCATCTCTGTCTCTCTCCTTACCACCCCCTGTAACTCCCTCTCACTTCTTCTTTCTCTCGCTCTACTCTCCCTGTCTCCTCTCTCCTCCACAGTATCCTGTTTGCTGACATCAAGGGATTCACTCTGCTCTCTATAAACCTGTCAGCTCAGGAGTTGGCCCGTACACTCAATGAACACTTCGACCATCCGGCTGAGGTGAGACAACCATCTGACTATAAGCCCTGACCACTAACCCTGACCTCTCGCTCTCAACTGTTACCTGTAGACCGGACCCTAACAGATTTCTCCAGCCCTCGCCAGTAACCTCTGACCTTTAACCTTAACCTTTTTATTGGGTTAGGCCCTGATACTCAGAGCACAGTGTATGCTTTGGCCTAGCTAGTTCTCCTCAACCACAGTGGTCATCCTAAACTTAACCCTATCTTTCTCCCTCCCATCTCTCCCGCTTTCTCTCTCGCGCTTTCTTTCGCTCTCAGCATTGTCATCACTTTGCTTAAAGGTCCAGTGCAGTCAAAATTAAGTTTTGTATCATATTGTACAACAGCTGTGTCACACCCTAATCTGTTTCACCTGTCTTGTGATTGTCTCCAACTCCCACCAGGTGTCTGCCATTACCTCATGTGTATTTATACCTCCAGTTCGTCTTGTCCCGTCAAGTCCTTTCAGCGTGTTCCCATGTTTCCTGTGCTCTAGTTTTTGCTTTTTGTAGTGTTCCCAGTTCTGACCTTTCTGCCTGTCCCTGATTCTGCCTGCCGTCCTATACCTGCATGACTCTGATTTGGATTACGACTCGTTGCCTGCCTTGACCTTCCGATTGCCTGCCCCTTTTACTGTAATAAACTATGAGACTCGTACTATCCACCTCCTGTGTCTGCATCTGGGTCTTAGCCTGAGCTGTGATAAGCTGATGAAACTTACACTGTAAAAAGTGTTCTTTTTATCAGTGTTATTTCCTGATGGTTGACAGTACAGTCTACACAAGGGTTCTTCAATTCCGGTCCTGGAGGGCCGAAACACTTCTGTTTTTTATTTCTACCTGGTAGTTAATTGCACTCACCTGGTGTCCCAGGTCTGAATTAGCCCCTGATTAGAAGGAGAGGATGAAAAACAGAGGTGTTTCGGCCCTCCAGGACCGGAATTGAAGAACCCTGGTCTACACAGAACCTTCAGCAGGTTTTGCATGGGTGGAGTTTCGGCTTGCCTGGTGACATCGCCAGGCGGTAAGTAAGTTAATAGACCAATAACAAAGAAAGTTCCAAACCTCTCTGACAATATCAGCAGTGGTGTAAAGTACTTAAGTAAAAATATTATAAAGTACTACTTATGTAGTTTTTTGGGGGTATCTATACTTTTTTATATTTTTTGACAACTTTTACTTCACTACATTCCTAAAGAAAATGTACTTTTTACTCCATACATTTTCCCTGACACCCAAAAGTACTTGTTACATTTTGAATGCTTAGCAAGAAAGGAAAATGGTCCAATTCACGCACTTATCAATTGAACATCCATGTTGGATTGTGCCCCTGGCTATCTGTAAAATAACTAAAATTGTGCCATCTGGTTTGCTTAATATAAGGAATTTGAAATGATTTTTACTTTTGATACTTAAGTATATTTAAAACCAAATACTTTGGCTTTTACTCAAGTAGTGCTTTACTGGGTGACTTTCACATTTACTTGAGTCATTTTCTATTAAGGTATCTTTACTTTTATGTATGACAATTGGGTACTTTTTCCACCACTGAATAACTAGTTTTCCTCTCCCCACTCCCAGACAGTCCTAGCAAAATTGTTACTTGAGAAAAAGTTGAGCTAAAAACCTTTTTTAAAAAAAAACAATTTTAATGGAAAACTACTAAAGTAAGGTACTTGTAACACAGATGTGATTCAAGATTGATATAAAAATGGCTGCATTGGGCCTTTAAAACTGGAATACGTAGTGGTAAAAATGCCACATCTGTTTGCAAACAACAAAGACGTTACTTCAAACAATGAACACCGTTTTCTTCCACTTGGACATCGTTGCACATAATTGCATGCACGATAGAACAGGTGCAGCATGCTCCTCTGCCCCGTTTCAAAACCAAAACAAACCTGGGGCGACTAGTAGCGCTGTTTCATCTTATGTAGATATCAGCTTTAACATGTGTCCCACAAGTACAAAAAAACGACAACTGTGACATGAACTTATCTGCAATCTAAATAGCATTGGCTTACTTGCACCACTCCACTCTACCGTCATGTTCATTGTCGCCCGGGATCGAGCACGCCATCGAGTTGAGCAGCAGCGAGCGCATGTGCATCACCCCGGTAACGCTGGGGTTTAAAGAAGCAAACATCGAGGACAAGGGAAGGAGGGAGGGGGGATGGTTTTAAGAGCACTAGAGGGTAAGGGGATAAAGGTAAGCCAGAGAGCCATAAAGTATGCATACAAGCGAGGGGGATGTGATGATGGTAGAGTGGGTGCAAGTAGGCCTATGCCATTTAGATAGACCTATACTATTTGCAGGTAGTTGATATCAATCAATTGTAGCATTGCACTTGTAACAAATGGCAGCTTGTCAAAGTATTAAACAGTACGGATCACAATGTGCTTTCATATTGTTTTCCCTCTGGGTCTCAGTATTCCCAGATGAGAGACGAGATGTTCAACTTCCATGAGAACAACAGCGCCCGCAACCTCCTCACCCTCACTGCCATCGCTATCAACTTCGGCCTGGCCTCCACCGACATGGTGAGTACCAGCCAGGTTTGGGGTCCATTTCATTAAAATTCCGTGTCTCTCTCCCCTCCCTCCCTCCCTCCCTCCGTCCCTCTCTTTCTCCCTCCCTCCCTTCCACTCTCTCTCTCTCCCTCCCCTCCCTCCCTCCCTCAGTCTCTCTCTCTCTCCCTCCCCCCGTTCCACTCTCCCTCCCTCCCTCTGACCTTCAGCATGGCAATTAACCCCACTGATGACCTCGATTAAGAGGGGTTGGGTTAAATGTGGAAGACACATTTCGGTTGAATGCATTCTGTTGTGCAACTGACTAGGTATCCCCCTTCCCTACACTAAATCAGTATTGGGTGTGATTTGGCTATGAGTTTCCATTACCAATTGAACACTTGGTTGATTTTATCACTCAAATTCTAATGTTTCTGTCTTTCTGTCTCTTCCTTCGTGTGTCACACACACACAGGTCTCACTACCTCAGGAGGAAGGGCATCTCCATCCTCCTCATGACCATGTTTGTTGTTGCTGTGTTCTACAATGGAAGACAAGTACAGTAACACACAACAGTCCTTACCTTTTATTTCAGTAGCGCTCCCCGAGGCATCTTTATTGTGTTAAGCAGTTATGTAGCTGCAACTGATGTGTCCGTAACTAATTCAAGTTTATTGAGTCACCATCATCCCTCAGTAAAGGAAAGTCTATTTGTGATTGGCTGTTCCTTGTCATCCAGTGGGAGGCGACAGTGAGGCTGGACTTCCTATGGCGTCTGCAGGCTCAGCAGGAAGTGGAGGACATGAGGGAGCTGCGGGAGCACAACGGGTGTCTGCTGAACAACATCCTGCCATCGCACATCGCAAGACACTTCCTGGAGAGGGGCAGGAACGACGAGGTACAGAAAACGCCATGACACTGTATAGGCTACTGAACCACATTTGGCATGGGTCCTCAGATCCTCAAAAAATTATACAGCTGCACCATCGAGAGCATCCTGACTGGTTGCATCACCGCCTGGTATGGCAACTGCTTGGCCTCCGACCGCAAGGCACTACAGAGGGTAGTGCGTACGGCTCAGTACATCACTGGGGCCAAGCTTCCTGCCATCCAGGACCTCTATACCAGGCGGTGTCAGAGGAAGGCCCTCAAAATTGTCAAAGACTCCAGCCACCTTAGTCATAGACTGTTCTCTCTGCTACCGCACGGCAAGCGGTACCGGAGTGCCAAGTCTAGGTCCAAAAGACTTCTCAACAGCTTCTACCCCCAAGCCATAAGACTCCTGAACAGCTAATCATGGCTACCCGGACTATTTGCACTGCCCCCCCACCCCATCTTTTTACGCTGCTGCTACTCTGTTAATTATTTATGCATAGTCACTTTAACTCTACCCACATGTACATATTACTTCAACTACCTCAACTAGCCGGTGCCCCCGCACATTGACTCTGCACCGGTACCCCCCTGTATATATAGCCTCCCTACTGTTATTTTATTTTACTTCTGCTCTTTTTTTCTCAACACTTTTTTGTTGTTTTATTCTACTTTTTTATTAAAAATAAATGCACTGTTGGTTAAGGGCTGTAAGTAAGCATTTCACTGTAATGTCTGCACCTGTTGTATTCGGCGCATTTGGCCAATAAAATTTGATTTGATTTGAATATCCTGATTCCAAAACAATCCCTTGCACATGTCCATTAGCCTGGTCCCAGATCTGTTTGTGTTGCCTTGTCAACTCCTATAGTCATGTTTTGGCAAGACCGCACAAACACATCTGGGACCAGGGAACCTATCCTCAGGTCTCTTCACATCACAGATCAGATAGGTTAAAGGAAATGCCTATTAAACAATCAAGTTCATATTAACTTCTCAATGTGTGTCCTCTCTCCCTTCTTCAGGAGCTGTACTCCCAGTCCTATGAGGAGGTGGGGGTGATGTTTGCCTCAGTCGCAGGGTTCACCGACTACTATGAGAAGAAGGAGATCAAACACGAGGGGGTCGACAGCCTCCGACTGCTCAACGAGATCATCACTGACTTTGACGAGGTGAGGGCGAGACGAGGAGGGGGTACGGCCCAGGCAGAGTTTTGCAATGTGTTGGAACACCAGATATTTTCTCTCACTTTCCATCCCAACAAATGAAAGTGTAACTGACAGCGTTTTAACTACTTTACAGATATGAAACAAACCGACAATTATAATATCAGACCAAAATATCAAATTCCTAGTTTACGCTACATAAACTTTAAAAATGGGTTCTATTTTACTTCAAATTCCATGACGTACAGTAAGGCATTGTTGGCAGAATAGATGGATGCAGTTCAATGCATGATTAACATAATTCACCAATACATGTCTTGGTAGTCCAAAAAATATTGCTATCAGGTTGTAAATCACAGCTGGCCTGGTACATTGTTTGCTGCCTCCACCCATTTGAGTTTCAATTATTTAATATTTTGGACAAAAACATACAAATTTTATTAAGGCTGGGAATGTCAATACAATCAAACTAGCAAGGGTAATGATCACAAGTCAGTCATAATATTTAGCAAGCTAAAAACACAAAGCCTAACGTTAACTAGCTAGCTAGCTGCTGGAAGGATGTCATGTCATTGGACGAGTGGGTGAGTGGACTACTTTTTCCCCTCATACAGTGAGGGAAAAAAGTATTTGATCCCCTGCTGATTTTGTACGTTTGCCCACTGACAAAGACATGATCAGTCTATAATTTTAATGGTAGGTTTATTTGAACAGTGAGAAACAGAATAACAACAAAAAAATCCAGAAAAACGCATGTCAAAAATGTTATGAATTGATTAGCATTTTAATGAGGGAAATAAGTATTTGACCCCTCTGCAAAACATGACTTAGTACTTGGTGGCAAAACCCTTGTTAGCAATCACAGAGGTCAGACGTTTCTTGTAGTTGGCCACCAGGTTTGCACACATCTCAGGAGGGATTTTGTTCCACTCCTCTTTGCAGATCTTCTCCAAGTCATTAAGGTTTTGAGGCTGACGTTTGGCAACTCGAACCTTCAGCTCCCTCCACAGATTTTCTATGGGATTAAGGTCTGGAGTCTGGCTAGGCCACTCCAAGACCTTAATGTGCTTCTTCTTGAGCCACTCCTTTGTTGCCTTGGCCGTGTGTTTTGGGTCATTGTCATGCTGGAATACACATCCACGACCCATTTTCAGTGCCCTGGCTGAGAGAAGGAGGTTCTCACCCAAGATTTGACGGTACATGGCCCCGTCCATCGTCCCTTTGATGCGGTGAAGTTGTCCTGTCAAGGGGCAATTTTTCTGATGATTTAGGTGACCTACACACATTTTAAAAAATATATGTACAGCAACAACATGAAGACAGGGGCAGCATATAAGTCAATACCAGAAGCATTTATTGACTGATCTGGGGAGATGGATTCCAGTTTCTGTGACATATTATAAATAATCTCTGATGCCTTTGTTATATTAGCTTTTGGTTGAATGTACTGTCGTAGTAAATATATAATGTTATAGCTTGGTCTGACTAAAATCTTGTGCATGACCCATTTTGTGTTGGGCGTTTGTTTTCAATCAATGCTGTTCCTATCCTATAACAATGGACAAAAGAGTCCTATCTTGTCAGCCTTGTCAGCAGGTGGCCAAGGACAACACCCACGCCATAGGTCTCTCAGTTCTTCCAACTCACGAGTTCTTGCTCTGAGGACACACACACACACACACACATCATCACTGTTAAACACACACACACACACACACACAAAAATCCCCTCTCTTTAGGCTGAACATTTGAAGACAGAGAACCCGACTCAGAGCCAATGCAACAGTGGAGGGGACCTCGCCCAACTCATCAGGACCAATCAGAAGATCAGAACTACTAGATTCAACCTACATCATTTATTGTATAAAATGTCTGCACACAATGTTTTCGGGGCTCTCTTCAGATAGCTCCCTAAGAGTTTGACGAACGAGTCCGTGCACGCGATTCCAGATATCTTTACCTCTGAATAAACTGCCTTTATTATACCATATCCACCCTGTCCAAAGTCTCTACTTGGTCTCAGTTCTCCAGTAAACTTGTGATTATCAACAGTACACAACGGTAACAAACAATTGGGGGAACTCACGGGGCAGATAGTAAGGTCGCAGTGACACAGAAAGCAGTTCAATGTCGGGGGTACAGAGTCGCTCTCTTACCAGGATCGATTTTCCCTGTGACTGTGTCAGATCGCGGTCCGCTCTGACCAGGGTGAAGCCGGCCGGCTCCACTTCTCTGTCCGGGACTCTGTCATCCAGCCAAGTCTCCCAGCTGTATTGGATTCCGCTGCCAGCAGCGTTTTCATTATTTAGTCTGTTCGTAGCGGGTATGTACACGATCAACAAGATCAGTCCAAAACCCACCACTGGAAATCCATGGTTGGCAGAATGTTTGTAAACTAAGTGTACAAATTAAAAACATAAAATAACGCCACTAAGTGTACAAATTAAAAACATAAGATAACGCCACACTGCAGGTCGCAACAGAGACGCTGCTAGCCGCTATTTTCTTAGTTACGTTCATGGTTACGTCACGTATGACGAAAGCGCGTAAGTGCAAGCCCACAGACACCCATAGAGATTGTATTGAAAGCTTTGAAATTTGAAAAAAATAGATTTTACATGGGAGTCTATGACAGACTTCTGGGCGATTTTCAACATGACTGAAATCGCCCCAAAAACGGGCGGGGCCATTTGAAGCACGACTTTAGCCTGATTTGACATTTAGTGGCAGTCAGATCAGATTAGAACACTGATAACTACTGTTGCCGTGATATAATTGATTAGAAAAAAAATCCCTTCCTTTTCCCGTTTGGCAGTGCGTCGCCCATATCGCCCTATTGAACACACCGCCCCTGCCCTTAGCAGAAAAACACCCCCAAAGCATAATGTTTCCACCTCCATGTTTGACGGTGGGGATGGTGTTCTTGGGGTCATAGGCAGCATTCCTCCTCCTCCTCCAAACATGGCGAGTTGAGTTGATGCCAAAGAGCTCGATTTTGGTCTCATCTGACCACAACACTTTCACCCAGTTCTCCTCTGAATCATTCAGATGTTCATTGGCAAACTTCAGACTGCCCTGTATATGTGCTTTCTTAAGCAGGTGGACCTTGCGGGCGCTGCAGGATTTCAGTCCTTCACGGCGTAGTGTGTTACCAATTGTTTTCTTGGTGACTATGGTCCCAGCTGCCTTGAGATCAGTGACAAGATCCTCCCGTGTAGTTCTGGACTGATTCCTCACCGTTCTCATGATCATTGCAACTCCACGAGGTGAGATCTTGCATGGAGCCCCAGGCCGAGGGAGATTGACAGTTATTTTGTGTTTCTTCCATTTGTGAATAATCGCACCAACTGTTGTCACCTTCTCACCAAGCTGCTTGGCGATGGTCTTGTAGCACATTCCAGCCTTGTGTAGGTCTACAATCTTGTCCCTAATATCCTTGGAGAGCTCTTTGGTCTTGGCCATGGTGGAGAGTTTGGAATCTGATTGATTGATTGCTTCTGTGGACAGGTGTCTTTTATACAGGTAACAATCTGAGATTAGTAGCACTCCCTTTAAGAGTGTGCTCCTAATCTCAGCTCGTTACCTGTATAAAAGACACCTGGGAGCCAGAAATCTTTCTGATTGAGAGGGGGTCAAATACTTATTTCCCTCATTAAAATGCAAATCAATTTATAACATTTTTGACATGCGTTTTTCTGAATTTTTTGTTGTTATTATGTCTCTCATTGTTCAAATAAACCTACCATTAAAATTATAGACTGATCATTTCTTTGTCAGCGGGCAAACGTACAAAATCAGCAGAGGATCAAATACTTTTTTACCTCACTGTATTATGACGGCCCAACATTTTTGAGAGGGTTTATCTGCTCTTTTCTCGTTAGAGTTTAGCTCATCTCGCTCTGGCTAACATTAGTTGTTGATCAATGGAGAGATAGCCTACCTGTTCATGGTTGTTTGATCAATAGGACTGTAAAGTTCCCAAATGTAAGAGGACTCCTGTGGTATTTACATATTTGCAGAAATCCATTCAGGTGTATTTGTGGCTTTTGGTGAATGCTTTCTAATGGTCTAAAGTCACGCTGTTGCTACTGTCTGTAAACACCCAGTCCAGTTCAAAGTCAATGATGGCTGGCCCGTGTGGCAAATGGCTTATTTGCATATAGGCCTACTGAAGCTCTGATTGGCTATGGCGCACCGGTCTGTCTGTCTAGAGTCCGGTCCTGGACAAGACTGACATGTTATTATTAGGTTTTATTTACTGCAGTGTCTATTATTTGTCCAAACGCATGGCCGCTTTCCCACTATATATTGCTATAGAATTTTCACAAATGCCTTACTCATTCCCAAACATTTTATGAAAACGTGAAAATGACCATATCTAAGTGCTCGCTTGTCAGAAAATGTTTTTTAAAAAGCCGTCATATTCTTCAGGGAGGTGTATATGAACAGATTTGTAACTAGTTTTTTGTTAAGTCAAAAAAACTTCTCTGAGGTGAGCTTCCTCACTGTCTTTCTATCATTCTCACTCACTTTGACTTTTCCGTCTTTCTTTCCCTCCCTACTCCTTCTCTCTCTTCACACTAGCTGTTGGAGGAGTTCTATTTTCATGACATTGAGAAGATCAAGACCATCGGCAGCTGTTACATGGCAGCATCTGGCTTATCTCCAGACAGACAGGTACTGCAACATCCTTTAGTCATCTGGGTACCAAACCAAACATACATTTTTGGATGTGTCATCATAACTCTTCAAAGAGGGGTTGCCTCAGGGAAAGTAGAGAGGGGACTTACCGAAAAATTTATTTTCCTTATTGCTGTCCTCTTGTTCTTTCTGTCCTGTCTTTCTCCCGAACCTCCCTCCCTCACACACATACACACACACACACACACACACACACACACACACACACGCACATTCAATGTCGCAGTCCCATGGACGTGTGAATGGGTGGCACCACCTGAGTGAGCTGGTCCTGTTTGCCTTGGCCATGCAGGAGACCCTGAGAGAGATCAACAAAAACTCTCACAACAGCTTCCAGCTCCGTGTGGGTAAGAGACAACAACAGATACACAGAGAGACTATGCTCAGACAGACCTACGCAGAAATATGGGCCTAAACTACATGTTTTATGATGCTCAATAATGATCAATCAGATGGTTGTTCTCTCTGTTTGAGATGATACAGTAGATCAGTCAAGATGGCATTCTCTCTCACACAATAGCCAGCTAGCACTAACATTCTGAGAACCATATGCTTCTTAGAGCTTGGTGAGAGCGTGGTTGTCCTATGGTTATTTTTGCACACAACCTTCCCACAACTTTCTGGGAATGGTGCAGGATAGTTGTTTAGCTTTGGAATATTCTCAGCACATTTAAGGAAGTGTCACGCCCTGGCTCTGGGGACTCTTTAATGTTGAGCCAGGGTGTGTAGTGTCTATGTTGTATTTTCTATTTTTCGTTCTAGTTCGTGTTTTCTATGTTGGCCAGGGTGGTTCCCAATCAGAGGCAGCTGATTCTCGTTGTCTCTGATTGGGAACCATACTTAGGCAGCCCGTTGGCACTAGTTTATTGTGGGATCTTGTTCCATAAGGTTTGTGTTGGTGTATTAACCTAGGACTTCACGTATCGTTTTGTTATTTGTGTAAAGTACTCATTAAAAGATGTACGCATATCACGCTGCGCCTTGGTCTGCCTCTTGTAGCGATCGTGACAGGAAGTTGACAAAAAAAATGTATTTTCTTGGTATTTCATTACTTTATAACAGAACGTTTCCTAAAAGTTTCAAACATAGTTACATTTTATTTCAATTTTGGTAATGTTCTAAGAACGTTCTTCAACTGATTTGACATTGACTATGTTCTCAAATAGTTCAGTGAACGTAAAGAAACAGTTCTTCTGTGGGAATTTCACTACTTCAGCATAACGTTTCCTACAGGTTTCCTCATGGTTCTATTTAAAGTCATGTTCTCATTGTTCCAAGAAAAAGAAAACTTTCCATAAAAACCACAAGACAACTTGAGTAATGTTCAGAGAACGTTCTAAGAATGTTTTTGAAAAACATATACATTCCGTCAACAAAACTTTCTCTATCCTCTATGTTGTCAAGTGTGTTCAGGTGTATTGTCCACTACCACTAATTGGCCACTGCTGATCTTAATGAGTGCTTGTTTCCTTTGAAATTTACATTTTAGTCATTTAGCAGACGCTCTTATCCAGAGCGACTTACAGTTAGTGAGTGCATACATTTTTCATACTGGCCCCCCGTGGGAATCGAACCCACAACCCTGGCGTTGCAAGCACCATGCTCTACCAACTGAGCTACAGGAGGGCCTAAATTGGTTTTTAAATGAACAGCTTTGTATGCGTAAAAAAACATGGTATGCTAGTTCCATCCTGACGGGGCAGTGGACTAATTCCATGGCTAGACAACAGAAGGTTATTGGTTCAAATCTCACTGATGCCGTGTCATAATAAAACATTTGTGTGATTACTGCCTAAGGAATGAATTTCCATGTGTCCTATCTGTGCTTGTAGTTCAAGAAAGTTAACACAAAATAAGCTAACAGTGTTATTAAAAGTTTTAAGGCAGTTACTCAAAAAATTCAGAGTGTTAATAAAACCTCTGAGGAAAGTTTTGAAGGAACCAGAGTAAAATGTTCCCAGAACCTCCCTGCAACCTAAAAAAAAATAATCCCAGAACAGGCTAAATTGTCACTTCTGTTCTCAGAACATAAAAAAAAAAAAAACGTTCAGTTTTACCAGTCAGGAAACATATGGCTTCATTCCCAGAAGCAATAGGAAACCAAAAACGTATGTTCGCACAACTTCCAAAGAATAAAATGTGCTAGTGGGGTACTGTAGTGATGATGATTACATTTTTCCTGGGTTCATATATTTATTTTTCCACAATTTATACTGAAAGGTTTATACAGTAGTTCAATGTTTATGCTAACAAAAAAATAGTGATGAAAATGAATATAGACTTACTTTTCCTTTTAGAGATTATCATGTTGTAGTTTTTTAAGTAGTGTGCACCTTCAGGAGAGAATAATATGGAGAATAGTAGAGGAGAAAGTACCCCTGACATTGGTGCTTTGTACCCCAGAAATACGAATAGGTGTGGTCAAGTAGTTATATCTCACTGTTTATACTAACTGTACTGTCTTTACTACTGAGTTTCCTTTGTACTTTTTTGCAGCAGAAACACTGTGCCCAGTTTCCCATTTCTACAGATCATGATTCCTTCTGGCTGTTTTAGGGTGGGGAGAAGGGTGCAGTATGCAGCATCTTAGTGCATTTCTGGCCACAGAAATGTTCTGTTTCTGCCCCATTTCAGCACATTCAGCAATGTCCTGAAGAGCCCAGATCAATTTCATTTTAATGAAAAGGGAAACACTTTCCTTTAGGAGCTACTCAATGACCAACCAGCAACAGCCTCTTTATATTATAGCTCTTATGTTATTTGTTCCTGTTGATAGTGAATATTCTAGTCTGTGTTTTATATTGTTTTTATGATTTACACTTCAGTGTTTGTTGTGTGTGTGTGTGTGTGTTGATATAATGTAATAATATGTTTCTGACAGTTTATCAACTGTTGATTTAAGCCAATAAATGTTTGCTAAGGAATATTTCACTGTCTAATTTAGGATATTCACATCAAATCAAATCAAATTGTATTGGCCACATGCGCCGAATACAACAGGTGCAGACATTACAGTGAAATGCTTACTTACAGCCCTTAACCAACAGTGCATTTATTTTTTTTATAAAAAAGTAAAATAAAACAACAACAAAAAAGTGTTGAAAAGAAGAGCAGAAGTAAAATAAAATAACAGTAGGGAGGCTATATATACAGGGGGGTACCGGTGCAGAGTCAATGTGCGGGGGCACCGGCTAGTTGAGGTAGTTGAAGTAATATGTACATGTGGGTAGAGTTAAAGTGACTATGCATAAATAATTAACAGAGTAGCAGCAGCGTAAAAAGATGGGGTGGGGGGGCAGTGCAAATAGTCCGGGTAGCCATGATTAGCTGTTCAGGAGTCTTATGGCTTGGGGGTAGAAGCTGTTGAGAAGTCTTTTGGACCTAGACTTGGCACTCCGGTACCGCTTGCCGTGCGGTAGCAGAGAGAACAGTCTATGACTAGGGTGGCTGGAGTCTTTGACAATTTTGAGGGCCTTCCTCAGACACTGCCTGGTATAGAGGTCCTGGATGGCAGGATGCTTGGCCCCAGTGATGTACTGGGCCATACGCACTACCCTCTGTAGTGCCTTGCGGTCGGAGGCCGAGCAGTTGCCCTACCAGGCGGTGATGCAACCAGTCAGGATGCTCTCGATGGTGCAGCTGTAGAATTTTTTGAGGATCTGAGGACCCATGCCAAATCTTTTCAGTCTCCTGAGGGGGAATAGGCTTTGTCGTGCCCTCTTCACGACTGTCTTGGTGTGTTTGGACCATGATAGTTTGTTGGTGATGTGGACACCAAGGAACTTGAAGCTCTCAACCTGTTCCACTACAGCCCCGTCGATGAGAATGGGGGCGTGCTCAGTCCTCTTTTTTTTCCTGTAGTCCACAATCATCTCCTTTGTCTTGATCACATTGAGGGAGAGGTTGTTATCCTGGCACCACACGGCCAGGTCTCTGACCTCCTCCCTATTGGCTGTCTTATCGTTGTCGGTGATCAGGCCTACCACTGTTGTGTCGTCGGCAAACTTAATGATGGTGTTGGAGTCGTGCCTGGCCATGCAGTCATGGGTGAACAGGGAGTACAGGAGGGGACTGAGCACGCACCCCTGAGGGGCCCCCGTGTTGAGGATCAGTGTGGCAGATGTGTTGTTACCTACCCTTACCACCTGGGGGCGGCCCCTCAGGGTTTCTGGGATAATGGTGTTGATGTGAGCCATGACCAGCCTTTCAAAGCACTTCATGGCTACAGACGTCAGTGCTACGGGTCGGTAGTCATTTAGGCAGGTTATCTTAGTGTCCTTGGGCACGGGGACTATGGTGGTCTGCTTGAAACATGTTGGTAATACAGACTCAGTCAGGGACATGTTGAAAATGTCAGTGAAGACACATGCTCGGAGTACACGTCCTGGTAATCCGTCAGACATGCCAATTATTACCAGATTTTTTTGTTATACTATCTTGACTTGTTCAATATTTTGGTGGCCGCCTCTGATGATCCAGATGAGATATTGGTGAAGTGGCAAATTAAGTCTAGTGGCATCTAGTGGCAAATAAAGTTTCTATAGTCTGCCAAAACCATTCAGTACAAACATAAACATAATGTAAAGCTAGAGTCCTTATTGAAACAATAACAAAGCACGCCCCGCCTCTGTTTTGGTAACAATCCGAGCGCTGGGCCTGGAGAAATGTAACCACTCTCAAATTCATAGACCGAGCTGTGGATAATAGTTTTAACCATGTTTTGAGGCTATAAAGTGTTTGTTTACATTTACATTGTTTACAAACGTTGGAGTATAACAAGCTTATATTTTGGGTTCTGATGGGGAACTGCTGCGTTCATAACCAAGTGGGAATTTACCACATAGGACTGGGGAAAATCCACTTCAACGGCCCTCCAAATGGTACTTACGAGTGGGAAACTATCATCCTGAACTCCCTCTTCTCCCACATGCTGCCCTCTGACATCACGTCACCTACTATCGAAAGTACCTCGATTACAGTCTTTCCAGCAGTAAAATGCAACAACAAAGCATTATTTATAAAAAGCTATCATTAATGTTTTTTTAAACGCTTTTAGTCGGAACAATTCTTCAACCAATAAGATTTTAGCTAGCTTTCTTCAACAATCAATCGGTATTTATATCCTTAATTTATAGGTCAAAAAAATTGATATTTAAGATAAAACCTAAAATTACAAGTACTATCATTAATAAAATGTTAATCGTTTGAAATAAAAATTTTTTTGAGCGTTGGTTATCTTACTCTGTGTTTGACTTTCTCTGTCTTTTAGAACTTCTTCCTCGATTGCTCTTGTCTGCGTAACTGCGCGGGTACTCTGCACGCGGGCTGCAACTACATTGTAGTGGCTACACCAAGGCAAGTTAGATTTACAGTCAATCAATCTCGTTTTGCGTCTAAACTCAACAAAAATGGCAGATGCACAAGAGGACAAGCTTTACAAAGCTGAATATGCCAAAAGTGGACGTGCTTCGTGCAAGAAATGCAAGGAAAACATTGCAAAGGATTCGCTGCGGATGGCTATCATGGTGCAGGTAACGTAGCTAGAGCGTCTTGTTCTTTCCGAGAACTGCGGAAGAGTGGACAATCTCAGAATCACTAAGAATCACTTTTATACGGTTATGTTGTTGATTCTGCACGAAAAAGCCCATTATTGATATGTTGTGGATTTCCTTTACGAATACAGCATGTTTGTGTTGTGTTGATAGAACTCATTCGCGTTTAAATGGCTTCTGAAGGCTTGAGTGAGAAAGGGCTTTGATACCTTCGCACCAGTAGCGCATTCCTTTTTCAATTATATGACTCGGGCATACATAGATGTGGTAATTGGGATGCAGGCCGTGGGGAATAGAAGGAAGCCGAATTGTCGCACGATAAACAAATCTGATCTAACAAAGTGGATATTCGTAAAATTCGTCATGATTGATGTATTGTATCAGGCCCACAATGTGGTTACTAATGTCCGATTAGGAAATATTTGGCGCTCTTACTGTTGAAAATCGTTTTGAATTGTCATCCAAGATCCAACTCGGAATTCCATGCTGGGAACTCGGTGCATCTTTCTAGAACTCCGACTTTCCGACCAGATTATCACTGACATCATGATTTGACCTCGTTTTTTCCGAGTTCCTAGTTGTCTTGAATGCACCATATGTCACCATGACCCATTTCCAAATTAGCTCGGGGAAAACTTTAGCTACAGCGCTGAGTGCAGCCTAATACATTATTATTTGTGTTAATGACTGTTTAGGTACCTGTAATCTATACAATTTCTGAGACTTGTGTGAATTTTGCCAAGAATGTCACATGAACCAATGTTTATACTTCACAAGCGTAATAAGTGACGTAGCTTGCTAGATAAGATGGCAAGTGTGGCTGCTGGTGACCACCGTTTTTTGTCACCCTGAGTCATATGAGCCTAAAACCTGGACTATATATGTACAGTGTAGTTGTGATTCCACCAGATGTGTGATTACCTAACCCACCCTGACCCTTCCATTATTTTATTTTCCCCAGTCACCCATGTTTGACGGTAAGGTGCCCCACTGGCACCACTTCTCCTGCTTCTGGCTGCGGGCGGCCGCCCAGTCTCCTGCAGACATCGCTGGATTCTCTGACCTGCGATGGGAGGACCAGGAGAAGGTCAAGAAGGCCATCGAGACTGGGGGAGCCACAGGAGGTCAGCCTTTAATAATAATAATAATAATATGCCATTTAGCAGACGCTTTTATTCAAAGCGACTTACAGTCATGCGTGCATAAATTATTATTTTTTGTGTATGGGTGGTCCCGGGGATCGAACCCACTACCTTAGCGTTACAAGCGCCGTGCTCTACCAGCTGAGCTACAGAGGACCATTAACTTTTAATCATTAACTTTTCTCCCAGCGTGGAGTCATCTGTGTACCCCTTTGATGTCATTGAAATGAGACTCCCAAAAATGTCATGATCATTGACTGGAGGTCAGAGTTCAAATAACACATTGGCTTCCCTCTTTCTCACAGGAAAAGGTGATGTGAAGGGTGGGGCCAAAGGAGAGAAGACTCTGAATGACTTTGCTGTGGAGTATGCCAAGTCCAACCGCAGCACATGTAAAGGGTGTGAGCAGAAAATTGAAAAGGTGAGGAGTCATTATTTAGATCTGTTTATTTTTTACATAGAGATGATCTGATATACACATGGCTATAAAATGAAGTTACAGTACACCTATTCCTCAACATCTGTTCAATGTAAAAAAAGGTTTTAGAATAAAGAGATTATCAATGTCCATAAATACTTGAATAGGTACCCGACATAACCCAAATATACACTATCATAACAGCCCTGACACCTCTCGTCTGTGCTCCAGGACCAGATCCGTGTATCTAAGAAGACGATTGACCCAGAGAAGCCCCAGCTGGGGTTGATAGACCGCTGGTACCACACGGCCTGCTTCGTGGGCCGCAGGGAGGAGCTGGTCTTCAAACAAGAGTACAGCGCCGCCCAGCTCAAAGGCTTTAACACACTCAGGGTGGAGGACAAGGAGGAGCTTAAGAGAAGGCTGCCCACCATCAAATCTGAAGGGTGAGGCTGTCTAATGAAGTAAATAAAGTAGTCTGGTGTAAATAAAATAGTCTGGCATCTACAAACTTTAACTTTACTGGAATGTACGTAGTGGTGTATTAACGTTAGTCAGGAGAGGTGTCCCTGATATTATAGCTGTTCTGTTTATTGTAAAAGACAGTTCTTTGGGCATAACGACCACCAAATGGTACATAATCCTCACCAGTAGAAAGTTAAGGAGTGGCGAGTCATACAGTACCAACGGGACTCCGGTCAGGTCCTGTGGGTGGTGGTCCCCCCGCCATCGCCCCCCTCTTCCCCGTCCCCCAGAGCTCTACAGCAGAGGAAGATGGCCTTAAAGGTGTTCCGGAAGGTCTTCATCTTGTATGCGTACAGGAAGGGGTTAACGGCGGAGTTGGCGTGTGATAGGATAATGGCGGTGAGGAGGAGCTCCAGAGGCATGGGGCAGCCGGGGCAGAGCAGCAGGAAACAGTTGATGACGTGCAGCGGTATCCAGCAGGCAGTGAAGAGGAAGAGGACGAGGAACAGCGACGTGGCCGTCTTCATCTCCCTCTTCATGCTGGCCGTCCTGGCCGCCTGCCCCTCCACACCCCCCACGCCGCCCCCGCGCTCTGCTGCGATGCGCCGTACCTGCCGCTTGACTGTCACAAAGATCTTTGCATAGATGAGGAACATGACCACCAGGGGCACCAGCACGCAGGCAAAGAAGTTGAAGTAGACCATGTAGGTCATGTCCACCACAAACACGAAGAAGCAGTAGCCCGATTCGGGCGGTGTTTTGTGCCAGCCCATGAGGGGCACCAGGCCAATTAGGAAAGCCAGCACCCAGGTCACCAGGATAACTAGGATAGCGTTGCGTGGGGTCATGAGTGTGTGGTAATGGAAGGGCAGGAAGATTGCCACGTAGCGCTCCACTGCTACAGCTAGCAGGCTGAAGATGGAGCTCTGGGTTAGCATGATGAGCACACTGAGCATCAGCAGGCACAGGTAGAGGTTGTGGCGGGGCACGCCAACGCCAGTGAGGATGGCGCAGGGGATGGCCAATGCACCCACGCAGATGTCGGCTACAGCCAGCGACACTAGGAAGTAGTTGGTGACAGTACGTAGCTTCCTGTTGAGGCCAACAGCAGCACACACCAGCAGGTTACCCACGGTGGAGAGGGTTGCTATGACGAGTTCAGCCACCATGTACACTACGTTGGGGGACACCACCAGGTCAGGCGGAGGAGGGGTGGAAGAGAGGAAGGAGGAGGAAGTCCAGAGGGGTTGAAGGTATGGGGGGAAGGGAGGGAAGGTTGAGTTGTCGAAAGGAAGGGCGGTTGAGAGATTCAGTGATGCTGTGATGTTCTCTGTCATTTTCCTGAAATTGAGAAAAAGGGAAGTCATACTTGCATACTGTAACATTGTGAAAATGGACTTAAAGTGGTTCTGATTTTAATTATTCCTTTAATTATTGATTTGCATAAAATGCAGTTTTGGTGAAGAAACGGCTACTTACCAAATGGTAGCTATTCAGAATAATGATACACAAAACGAAGAAGGTCCGTCTTGTTTTGTGCCTGTCTCTCTAATGAAGAGCAGTGTTCGTCAGGAGGACTCATGAGAAAGGGAATGCATCAGTATTGATCTGCTGCCATCTCTACAAAGTACCACCTCTCGCCCAAACACCGCTACTGCTATGACCACACACAGTCTGAGTGTGTGCACAAGGGAGAGATGTGTCGTTTTTATAGATTCTATCTGAGAAGGGGCTGGATGTTTTTTGGTGATTGTTTCCTGTCCTGTGAGTCAGGTGGTGACCACTATGGGACGGACAATGTGTTTAAGGGGCTGTGATTGCAAGGTGTGTTTAGAGGGACAGGAGAGGCCTCTGGGAAGCTGATTAATTTCCCTCCTGAAGGGGAAATGGTGACCAGAGGGAAGGGGAGAGGGTGACGGGGTGACATCCTAATCACCCACAGAGTCACAGGGACGTGTAGTAACTTGAATCATCTCCCGAGTCAGGGTGATGTGCGTCTCCACCGGTGGCAGGACACTAATGAATCTCCCTGATTAATGAAGGTGTCAGGCTTGTTTTGACTAACCTTGGATAAGGCTCTGCTCCCAACGGGCCTCATTTACAAAGTTAATGGGGAAGTCAGTGCCTGTCAAGTTCCTTCAGGAAGTTTTCAACAGCAAAACTTTCTCTTGAAGGATGAATTACAGAATGGTGTTGTGATTTGAAATGTTACTTGTAAATGTTTTACTTGGTGGATAAATTGGTTCCTGCATAGAGAATGTAAACGACTAATTTCTCTTCCCTGTTTTTCCCTCAGAAAGAGAAAGACTGACGAGGTAGATGGAGAGGGGGCGTCGAAGAAGAAGAAGAAGGAGGAGAAGAAAGTGGAGCTGCAGATGAAGGTTCACTCCCGAAAATGGCAGAAATGCCTTTACATTAATATTTATTTACTTCATCAAATGAGTAACATAATGTCATTGTTGTCATTTTGTATGTGTGTATACAACTATATGCCCATATGTTTTGCTAGTGATGTTTTCCAAACCCCCTCTGTCTGTGTGGTTGTGTGTGTACAGGAGCAGTGCCAGCTGATCTGGGACATCAAGGACAAGCTGAGGCAGTTCTGTTCCACCAATGACATGAAGGAGCTGCTCATCGCCAACGGACAGGAAGTGCCCTCTGGAGAGTCCAATGTAAGGAGGCTCACTATGTGTCTGTCTGTCTCAGTAGCTGTCTTTCTCTATATCTGTCAGTTTCTGTGTCTCGTTTAACTGTGTAAAAGTGTGTATTTTGTGTGTCTGGGTGATGGGTCAAACAGCCAGTCAAATAGTATGTTGTTTGATTGACAGGTGGTGGACAGCCTAGGAGACTGCATGGCCTTTGGCGCTCTGAAGCCCTGCGAGGAGTGCAAGGGTCAGCTGGTGTTCAAGAGCGACGCCTACTACTGCACTGGAGACATCTCCGCCTGGACCAAGTGTGTGTTCAAGACCCAGCTGCCCAACCGCAAGGACTGGGTCACCCCCAAGGTAGGCCCCCTTCTTTGGTGTCAGAGTGTCTGTAGAGCTTGATGTTCATCTTCGCTGCTGCTACTCGCTGTTTATTATCTGTGCATAGTCACTTTACCCCTACCTACATGTACATATTACCCCGACTAACCTGTACCCCCACACATTGACTCGGTACCGGTACCCCCTGTTTATAGCCTTGTTATTGTTATTTTATTGTGTTTCTTTTTTTTACTGTAGTTTTATTTAGTCAATATTTTCTCAACTCTTATTTCTTAACTGCATTGTTGGTTAAGGGCTTGTAAGTAAGCGTTTCACGGTAAGGTCTACACCCGTTGTATTAGGCGGGTGTGACAAATAATATTTGATTTATCTGGGTTGTGTTCATTAGGGTTAAACAAAGCAAAAGGTTTTGCAACAGAAAACCGAAACAGGCATTTCTTGTTGGACAACTTCAGATAGTACCTGCTTCTTTTGGAATGTTTTCTTCTGTGTCGTGCCTAATGAAATCGACAAAGAGCTCAGATATAACTCACTATGCTCTTGTGAATGCCAAACGCTAACATCTCCTCCTAATCTATTCCCCCCCCCAGGAGTTCCATGAGCTTCCCTTCTTGAAGAAGTTCAAGTTTAAGCGACAGGACCGGGTGTTCCCCAAGGTGGCCCCCGCCCCTCCCCCAGCCTCCTCTGCAGCCATCCCCAGTGCCTCCAGTGCTCCCAGTAGACCCATCCCAGAGGGAGCCCCTGCAGGTAAGCAGAAACCAGTAGGACAATGTGGTGTAGTGGGACAACTTGTTGGAATGACTTGAGTCGTTAGATCTTCTCATTGCGCTGAAGAATCTGGTCGAAATGGAGAAGCCCCTTTTTTGAGTAAAAGAATACTAATTTCACTCTATATTTTTACTTCTCTATTCTACAGTGAGTCTTGTTCCAAAGTACGATGCTAGAATATGACCTGCCCCATTCATAGTATTGGAATGGCCATTCTACTCATTCTAATTCTTTCTATATGGGTTCCTCTCCCCTCTCCTCCCATGTAGACAAGCCTTTGACAGGGATGAAGTTGCTGACTGTGGGCAAGCTGAGACAGAACAAGGACGAGCTGAAGACTGCCGTGGAGGAGCTGGGCGGGAAGATCACCGGCACAGCCAATAAGGCTACTCTCTGCCTCAGCACCAAGAGTGAGTAGCTAATCAATCAGAGGGGGTCGTTGGATTCACCTTTTGCTCACCCTTACAGTAACAAATAACACATATTTTCAGAAGGATAGATTGGATTTCTTTGTATTCCCTAGTTCGACATCTTTGCTGTGCTCTTTTTCTCGCAGAGGAGGTGGAGAAGATGAGTAAGAAGATGGAGGAGGCGGAGGAGGCGGGCGTGCGCGTGGTCTCCGAGGACTTCCTCACTGACATCAAGTCCTCGGGCAAGGCCCTGCAGGAGCTGGTTTCCCTGCACGCCATCTCCCCCTGGGGGGCCGAGATCAAACTAGAGACCCAGGCTCAGGCAGCGGCCTCCAGGTCTGGAGCCGTGGCTGGCAAGAGCACCAGGAGGGTGAAGGAGGAGGAAGGTACAGAATCGGATGTAGCATTGATGAGTAACTTAACTGACTGTTATGGTAGAGTATTTCGTTTTTACAGGCTGCTATGCTAAAGAGTATGGCAGTTGGGTCAATTTCACTTTTGCAGTTGTAACACAATCTCATTTCTGCTTTTTCAGGTGTTAGCAAGGCCAGTAAGAAGATGAAGCTTACTGTGAAAGGAGGGGCAGCAGTGGACCCAGACTCAGGTCTAGAGAACAGTGCTCATGTCCTGGATCAGAACGGCAAGATCTTCAGTGCTACGCTAGGTCTGGTGGACATTGTCAGGGGAACCAACTCCTACTACAAACTACAGCTGCTGGAGGACGATGTGCATAAACGGTTAGTCTATCCTTCGGGTATAAGGATCCTGAAAGGGTGCCACTTTCTCTCTTCCTCTCTCCCTCTCTCTTTATCCTCCCCCATTCACCACTCCTCTTCCCCTGGCTACTCTCTCTACTTTGCCTGTATTTCTCTTCTTCTTTCTCCCTTACTTCTGTCCTGTCCCCATTCCTGCTCATCTCACCCTTCTCTCTTTCCTCTCCCTCTGTCTCTCCTTACCTCTGTCTTTCTCCTCTGTGTGTAGGTACTGGGTGTTCCGCTCCTGGGGCAGAGTGGGCACCACCATTGGGGGCAATAAGCTGGATAAGTTCCATGATAAGAACTCTGCCATGGACAACTTCCTGGGTGTGTATGAAGAGAAGACCGGCAACGCCTGGGGCTCTTCCCACTTCACCAAGTACCCCAACAGGTTCTACCCTCTGGAGATCGACTACGGACAGGTACAGCTAGAACACACAGACGCACACACTGCTCAAGCTATGAAATCAGCTACAAGGACTGTTTGTGTTCATATTTAAGAAACCTGTTGTGCATTTGACTTGACAGGCCTACTTTTAATTGAGAATTGTATACTGTGGACTTCACCGGTTGGTCCTGATTGGCCCATCCTGTCTCTGTCCCATATCTGATTGGTTGTTTTCCCCACCAGGATGAGGAGGCGGTGAAGAGGCTGACAGCCAGTGCTGGCACAAACTCTCTGCTGGCCAAGCCTGTCCAGGAACTCATCAGGACCATCTTTGACGTGGAGAGCATGAAGAAGGCCATGGTGGAGTTTGAGGTGGGTACTGAGTTAGTGCAGAGTGTGTTGGTTTTTCTCAATGTGTATTTTTGTCAAAATCTGACCCACATTTACCCCTCTTATTTCTCTTCATTGAGAATGAGTCATTCATCTTTTGTCTTTCCTGTCAGATTGACCTTCAGAAGATGCCCCTGGGGAAGCTGAGTAAGAGGCAGATCCAGAGTGCCTATGCCCTCCTCAGTGAGGTGCAGCAGGCTGTATCGGACAGTTCCTCAGAGTCCCACATTCTGGACCTGTCCAACCGCTTCTATACCCTCATACCTCACGACTTTGGCATGAAGAAACCACCACTGCTCAGCAACCTGGACTACATTCAGGTGAGGGCACCTGTGTTCTGTCTCACGCTCATCCTCTCAATCAATCAATCAAATGTATTTATAAAGCCCTTTTTACATCAGCAGATGTCACAAAGTTCTATACAGAAACTGAGCCTAAAACACCAGAGAGCAAGCAATGTAGATGTAGAAGCACGGTGGCTAGGAAAAACTCCCTAGAAAGGCAGGAACCTAGGAAGAAACCTAGAGGAACCAGGCTCTGAGGGGTGGCCAGTCCTCTTCTGGCTGTGCCGGGTGGAGATTATAAGTGCATGGCCATTAAGGCCAGAAGTTCTGGCCTTAATGGCTCTCTCCCATAAGCAAGAGAACTGGAATTGAGACTTGAGTGTTACTATTGTCAGAACTCCAGCTCTAAGTGGAACAGTCAGTCAATTCTCCTGAGGTACTTGAACCAAAGGAGTCTAGTTTAGTTTATTTCTAAACTCTTCAGTAAGTGATGGTAGATGTTTTTAACCCTTTGTGTCCCACTACCGTCCAGGCTAAGGTCCAGATGTTGGACAACCTGCTGGACATTGAGGTGGCCTACAGTCTGCTGAAAGGAGGGGCTGAGGATAACAAGAAGGACCCTATCGACATCAACTACGAGAAACTCAAAACCAAGATTGAGGTACAGGAGGGCCTGGTGGTTTTCCAGTGCAACTCTCTATTGTAAATACAGTGCTCTAAAAGTTATGAACTATGAATGTGTTGTATTTGTCATCCACCTTGCAGGTTGTTGACAAGACCACAGAGGAGGCAGAGATCATTCTGAAATACGTCAAGAACACACACGCTGCTACACACAACACCTACACACTGGAAGTTGAGGAGGTAAGATTTTCGTGAGAAAAGCACACATATGCATTCATGCTACACACATCACAACTGCTGCTACCAGACTCTTATTATGACTGCTAAATACTGCACAATTTAAATACTTGCCCCCAAATCCCACCTTCCCAAAAACACATGTAAATATTGGACTATAAATTGTGCCTTCCTGTATTATACTTATGCTAAAATGTTTATTCTATTCTACTGAGACATTTTACTCTTCGTATTCTTATCTTTTAATATTTCTTACTGTTGTATTGTTGAGAAGGAACCTGCAAGTAAGCATTTCTTTGGACTGTGTATACCATGTGTATCCCTTACGACTAATAAACCGTTACATTTCTGTGGTGTCTCGCTTCCGCCCTCTCAGATCTTCAAGATCGTTAGGGAGGGAGAGTACCAGAGGTACCGCCCATTCCAGGATCTGCCCAATCGCCAGCTTCTGTGGCACGGTTCTCGTGCCACCAACTACGCTGGTATCCTATCTCAGGGTCTGCGCATCGCCCCTCCTGAAGCCCCCGTGGTGAGTGTCCACCTCATACTACAGCACCAGCTAATGCTTGGGATGCATAGTGGAAGTTCCTCCTTTGTTTTTTATTATAGCTGGTCAACATGGGAATATTTTTAGTACTTGTTGACATGGTCTTGTATGTATTATTTTGTATGCATTCCATATTTATCATTATATGGCAAAAGCTCCGGTTCAAATTCAGCTTTACTACGTTGTGACATTTGAAAAACGCTCACGATGTTGTCTTGATACATTCCAGACGGGTTACATGTTTGGCAAAGGTGTGTACTTTGCAGACATGGTGTCCAAGTCGGCCAACTACTGCCACACCTCCCAGTCTGACCCTACTGGCCTACTTCTACTGGGAGAGGTCGCCCTGGGAAACATGTGAGTGACAGCTCATGTTCTTAGAATCCTTTTAATATTCCATATTCTCTTCAATGTTAACTATCGTTATTGATATTTGTTAATTTTTTGGTATAGGCATGAACTGAAGACTGCCTCGCACATCACAAAACTACCCAAGGGTAAACACAGCGTGAAAGGTAAGGCGATTTTAGATCATATTTAAATAATTGAAAAGGCCGTATGCAATCATGCAATATTTAGACACATTTATATTATAGTAACTTACTTGGCACTTAACTCATTATTTTCTTCCTTCTCTCCCTGTTAGGTTTGGGTCGAAACGCCCCAGATCCTAGTGCCACTGTCACTTTAGACGGGGTGCAAGTGCCTCTGGGAAAAGGAACCAACACCAACATCGACGACACGAGTCTGCTGTACAATGAGTATCCTTTTCTCCCTCTGAGGGCCTGGGCCTGTCTTCTGAATCCCTCTGAGGGCCTGGGCCTGTCTTCTGAATCCCTCTGAGGGCCTGGGCCTGTCTTCTGAATCCCTCTGAGGGCCTGGGCCTGTCTTCTGAATCCCTCTGAGGGCCTGGGCCTGTCTTCTGAATCTGAGTCTTATACTTTTGCCCATTTTCATCCAAGTGGGTTTGTGCACTGCCTTTTCAATAGAATTTAAAACCATCTCTACTACATTGTTGAGGTTGAGAGATAGATACAGTGAGGGGAAAAAAGTATTTGATCCCCTGCTGATTTTGTACGTTTGCCCACTGACAAAGACATGATCAGTCTATAATTTTAATGGTACGTTTATTTGAACAGTGACAGACAGAATAACAACAAAAAAATCCAGAAAATCGCATGTCAAAAATGTTATAAATTGATTTGCATTTTAATGAGGGAAATAAGTATTTGACCCCTCTGCAAAACATGACTTAGTACTTGGTGGCAAAACCCTTGTTGGCAATCACAGAGGTCAGACGTTTCTTGTAGTTGGCCACCAGGTTTGCACACATCTCAGGAGGTATTTTGTCCCACTCCTCTTTGCAGATCTTCTCCAAGTCATTAAGGTTTCGAGGCTGACATTTGGCAACAGCTCCCTCCACAGGTTTTCTATGGGATTAAGGTCTGGAGACTGGCTAGGCCACTCCAGGACCTTAATGTGCTTCTTCTTGAGCCACTCCTTTGTTGCCTTGGCCGTGTGTTTTGGGTCATTGTCATGCTGGAATACCCATCCATGACCCATTTTCAATGCCCTGGCTGAGGGAAGGAGGTTCTCACCCAAGATTTGATGGTACATGGCCCCGTCCATTGTCCCTTTGATGCGGTGAAGTTGTCCTGTCCCCTTAGCAGAAAAACACCCCCAAAGCATAATGTTTCCACCTCCATGTTTGACGGTGGGGATGGTGTTCTTGGGGTCATAGGCAGCATTCCTCCTCCTCCAAACACAGCGAGTTGAGTTGATGGCAAAGAGCTCGATTTTGGTCTCATCTGACCACAACACTTTCACCCAGTTCTCCTCTGAATCATTCAGATGTTCATTGGCAAACTTCAGACGGGCCTGTATATGTGCTTTCTTGAGCAGGGGGACCTTGCGGGCGCTGCAGGATTTCAGTCCTTCACGGCGTAGTGTGTTACCAATTGTTTTCTTGGTGACTATGGTCCCAGCTGCCTTGAGATCATTGACAAGATCCTCCCGTGTAGTTCTGGGCTGATTCCTCACCGTTCTCATGATCATTGCATCTCTACGAGGTGAGATCTTGCATGGAGCCCCAGGCCGAGGGAGATTGACAGGTCTTTTGTGTTACTTCCATTTGCGAATAATGGCACCAACTGTTGTCACCTTCTCACCAAGCTGCTTGGCGATGGTCTTGTAGCCCATTCCAGCCTTGTGTAGGTCTACAATCTTGTCCCTGACATCCTTTGGTCTTGGCCATGGTGGAGAGTTTTTGGAATCTGATTGATTGCTTCTGTGGACAGGTGTATTTTATACAGGTAACAAGCTGAGATTAGGAGCACTCCCTTTAAGAGTGTGCTCCTAATCTCAGCTTGTTACCTGTATAAAAGACACCTGGGAGCCAGAAATCTTTCTGATTGAGAGGGGGTGAAATACTTATTTCCCTCATTAAAATGCAAATCAATTTATAAAATGTTTGACATGCGTTTTTCTGGATTTTGTTGTTGTTATTCTGTCTCTCACTGTTCAAATAAACCTACCATTAAAATTATAGACTGATCATTTCTTTGTCAGTGGGCAAACGTACAAAATCAACAGGGGATCAAATACTTTTTTCCCTCACTGTACGTATCCTGTTATCAAGACAAGAGTTCACAACCCTTTGTTGTATTTCTGCTTTAGGAATGTATCTTGCATCGAATATTATGCCATGCCCCCACACTGTTCCCTAGTCCCTATTTCCCTTAACCTCGCCTCCTCCAGATACATTGTGTATGACGTGGCACAGGTGAACCTGAAGTACCTGCTGAAGATCAAGTTCAACTACCAGATGTCCCTGTGGTGAAGAGGGTTGTAATTGACCACCACCGGCTCTCCAGAAAGATCCAGCTGACCACCCACCGCTTCCAGCACCCACCCCACAACAAAGGAAATGTTTTGCCCCAGAGTAAAGACCTTCCCATCCTAATAACATTGTTCTGTTTACATTCGGTAGTTTAAAATCCTAGCCACTATACACATGGCTTATTGCAATAGCGGATAGCCTTAAATAGGATAGATGTATTGGCTTTGTTTTATGCACCTTAGTACCGGTTTCAGACGATACTAGGTTGGTATTGGTTTCTAAGACTGTGGATCATGAGGTCAGAGTTCACCCAATCAGGAATGCAGAATTGAGGCACCTGTGGAAATAGATGGTCATTGAAAGACAAGAAAAGCAATAATATAACCACTGGTCTATACATTTGTTTTTGTTTCTTTACTTGTGTACCCATAGTCCTAGGTAGTATTTGAGGTAAAAGCAATGCTCTGTTTTATATATATATATATTACTCTTTAAAAACGGCAATTTTGCATCTATGGTCAGTTTCAAGGGTTTCAACGGTTTCAACGGGTGTAATGAGATGTTTCCCAATGAGTCATTTCTCTTCACCCAGTCCAGTCCATTCCGGACAAAAGGTATTGGTTGGTAAATATGCACACCCTGTGAACACATACAAACCATGGCTGACACTTAACTAGAACTTACTAGTAATAGAACTGTTAAGATAAATACTTTGTAGACTGTTCATAAGGAGTCAATACTAAGTTTGACCTGTATAATATGCTTTGTTTTTTTTCAGTCTCTATCTGTCTTTGTCAAGGTTGATTCCGTAAAAACAAGGTTTGTGCTGACAGCATTTAGACCACGTATTCTGTAAAATAAATGTTTGACTTGGAGTGTTGAGAGATGGTTGGTTTTGTTCTATCCAGGGTATTTTTTCCACCACTCAGAATAAAGCATTTTGTTAATCTTACCTTCTTACAAGTGGCCGCTTTGAACTCCTGTATTTCCATTGTCTAAATTACAAATATAGTTTGTTTCCACCCCCATTATTTGCAGATAATGACGATAAGTCTGAGGAAATGTATTTCCCTTGTGCAGGGCCAACCCATCAGATGGCATTCTTGTCATTACTTACTTTATGATGTCTGGAGAATTCATGTTGGGACCTAATTTGTCATAAAACACACCCCCAGTTGTCCCACTTACCGGTACTTCATTTGGGTGTGTCCTCTGAGCCCTGTGTGACATAAGGGAGGGGGGAGGGGGAACAGATTTGTATTTGCTTTGCCCTTCGCTCTGCTGCTAATACAGGACTAATAAAGGCCCAGTGCACTACTTTTGTGCATTTGTAACTTGAGTGATAATTATCTGTACAAAACAGTTAATCTGATAATACTTGTGGAATATAAAAATACTTGCTTTATGTTTTCCAGTTTCTTGGAATACTTTGCAAATGCAACTTATTTCTATGTGAAAACTGAAATGTTCATTCCTTTTCCATTTTAGTAGAAACTCTTATCCAGAGCAACTTACAGTAGTGAATGCATACAATTTCATACTTTTTCGTACTGGTCCCCCGTTGGACTCGAACCCACAACCCTAGCATTGCAAGCACCATGCTCTACCAACTGAACCACCTCATCACATCACAAACCATTTGATTACTGTATTGTGCATAATTTTTCTTCACAGTGATGGAAAGTCTACAGGTACAAACCTAGATGACCAGTCTATGTACAATACAGTAATGTATTACATTAAGTGTTTGTAAGGATGGAAAATTAATTCTGCACAAAAAGTGCTTTCAATGTTATTTGATCAAAAAAATATTTAATTTGATGTGGATGTTTTGTGTCTTTGTCCATAACTATGCACCTTTTCATGTAAATGTTTTGAGGACAGGGTTTTGTTATTTCTGGATTCCATTAGAATGACAATTGCAGAGAAAAGGACAGGGCAACAACTCTTTCAATTCCAGCAAATGAATCCTGCAAGATACTGTTCCTAATTATACAACTACTTTTTTTGCCAAAACTGAGGTGCTGAAGATTATTTTTTTTGCCTGCACTACAGACTTCTATATCTGTCCTCTGTAGCTCAATTGGTAGAGCATGGCGCTTGTAACGCCAGGGTAGTGGGTTCGATCCCCGGGACCACCCATACGTAAAAATGTATGCACACATACTTTGGATAAAAGCGTCTGCTAAATGGCATATTATTATTATTATTAATACTAGTAAAGGCCCAGTGCACTACTTTTGTGAAAATATTTGTTTTTTAAATTTTTTATAAAAAAAGAAAATCCGATTTTTCAGGGGATGCTGCAGCACCCTAAGCACCCCTACTTCCCACAGCTATGGTCGATGAGCTTCTGCATGGTCCAGTAACTCATGAAGCCCTCTCATTAATGTATTATTGTCTTGTCAAGGTTAATTATACAGGGATATCTATAGAGTTTTTTTTTTCCCCCTTCGGACAGGATGTTTAAGGTTAGCTCTCGAGAACTCCAAGGGGGCCTACAGCTGGTCCCCCTCTTGGGTTCTCAGCTGAAGGTATGGACCCCAGCTGGCTCCATGTGAACTACAATCCTGATGCTCTGTTTTAACATTTAGGAATGTTATTAATCCTCGCTTGCAATACAGTTTTGGAAACCTTTGGAACTTAACTTTTATATAAGTGAGAACCAAATATTTAAAATACAAAAGATAAACTTACTGTACTTGTACGCAGTTTACCAAAGTTGCACCAGGCTTTGTTTTGACAGCCTCTGCTACGACACATCCTCACCTTGCGCTCGCATTTCCATTGGACCATTCCATTCAACATTTCCTGGTGCAACTTTGCTAAACTGCTGACGGTAAGTGTATATTTTGTATTTTGAAAAAAAATAACATCTCGCTCATATGAGGCTAATTTGTGTTTAAACAGAGCATTTGGCCAGGGCCAGGCATTTGCCTCAGGTAGCATAATAGCTATGTGGAATGAGTGTTTGAGTTGTGCGCTGCCAGGCAGTCATGGGTGAACAGGGAGTACAGGAGGGGACCCCTGAGGGCCCCAGTGTTGAGGGTCAGCATGGCAGATGTGTTGTTTCCTACCCTCTCCATGCCATATGGGCTTAGATAACTAAATGTATGTATTTGATTACTACCCAATTTAATCATCACTTTCAATAAACGGTTTACATGAGAATAATAATGTGCTTGTTTATTATCAAGGTGTTAACTTATAAATTCAGTCCCTAAAAAATTGCCATCCAGACACACTGTCCCAGAATGCATCTTGACAATATGGTCTTTGAAAAAAGCAGCGCGGCTAATTCAAGATGGCGGAGATGGACCAGCTAGATGAGAGTAAGTAACAACACGAATTTAACAAGACTTTTAAACTACCAATACAATTATGTGAGGAAATGCTTATTTTAAAAACCTTGTATGTGTTACTATTATTAACTGAATACTTGTCGCACTTTTTTCCTGAAGCGTTTGTAAACTCATTTTCTAGACGCAAAAGCTAGTGAGCTAACGCTTGTTAGCAAGTTAGCTTGGTAAGCAGCTAGCTAGCTAGCTAGCTAACATTAGTACGCTAGCTAGCTAGCTAGCTAGCCAGCTACCTGCTCTAAAATAATTAGGCGATGGTCATTATGGCTAACTAAAGGTTAGCAGGCTTGTTGCCCGTTAGCTAACGACCTAGCAAGCTAACGTTAGCTAGCTGAGCTTTTTTTGTTTATTTGATTTCTGAATATTTGTACCTAACTTACTTAACTAGCTAGCTACATTTAGCTAACTGTTAGCGAGTTGCTTATATTATCCACTGTTCCCTAAAATAAATACTTTGTATAGGTGTCTTGTTGCTTTAACATCTAAAAACAAATCGCCTATTCAGTCTTCTCTGTCAAGACAAGACACTGACAGAACAGCCGTCTAATGGGTGATGTGAGGGGTCATACTGCTGGCTAGCTGTCATTATCTGACATATTTTTCTGGTAACTGTTCTAGCCACAATAATTGCCAATTTCCAAGGTATTATTTAACAAACATCGATTGTAGAGAGTTGAAATATGAACTGTCAGACCACCTGCTATTCTTTCTAACTGTATTTAGCTAACTACCTTTGTCCAACAAGGTAGCCTTTCTCAATAATTGACCTTGGGGTTATTGGGTTAGTAAAGATTACATTCTCTCCAATGAGCATTGTTTTGTCCCAACGCTTTTAGTATTTGCATATACAGATGCCCCTGGGCTATATGGTGACTGCTGACTGATGGAGCTCATCTATTCCTCACTATGACACACCACATTTGGGATTCTCACTAATATTACACATTTTATTTGACCTACGGTTTTTCTTATACAGTGCCTGTAGAAAGCCTACACCCCCCTGGAATTAAAATGCATCTCTCTTCCCCCCCACCCTACCCTACCCTACCCTACCCTACCCTACCCTACCACTTCAAGTGAAAAATATATAATGGATTAAAAAAGAAAATCAAACTCATCGCTTGGTTGGATAAGTGTCCAACCCCTTGTAATATAAATCTTAAATTAGCTCAGGTGTAACCAACCACCTTCAAAATCACACAAGTTAATTGGCCTCCACCTGTGTTAAATTGTAGTGATTTCAGGATCAATTCAGCAGTTCCTGTAGGTTCCCTCTGCTGGGTAGGACATTGCAGAGTAAACACTCAACCATGAGCACCAATGAGCTTTGAAAATAACTCCAGGACAAAGTTGTGGAATGGCACAGATCAGGGGATGGGTATACAAATATTTTAAAAGCCCTTCAATATCCTTTGGAGCACGGTCAAGACGATTTTATTAAGTGGAAGGTGTATGGCATCACCAACACCCTGTCTAGATCAGGCTTTCCTTCCAAACTGGATGACCGAGCAAGTAGGAGACTGATCAGAGAGGCTGCCAAGAGTCCAAAGGCAACTTTTATGGCCAAGACTGGTTAAAGTCTGTAAAGAAGGGGAAAGGGGATACCTAGTTAGTTGCACAATTTAATGCATTCAAATGTATCTAATGCAATATAACCCAACTCCTCTGAATCGGAGAGGCACGGGGTGGCAAGAAGGAAGCCATTACTCAAGAAAGCCCACCTTGAATCCTGTTTTGAAGTATGCAAAACAAAAACACTCGAGATTCTTTAGCCATGTGTGAAAGTTTTGTGGTTTGACGAAACTACAATTGAAATGCAAAGCGTTACGTTTATCAGGATTGAAGGGAAAATGAATGGAGCAATGTACAGAAAAGTCCTTGAGGGAAAACCTGCTGCCCTCTGCAAGAAAGCTGAAACTGGGACGGAAGTTCACCTTTTCAGCATGACATGACAACGATCTGATGCACACATCCAAAGCTACAGTGGAGTGGCTAAGGAATAAAAAGGTAAATGTAAATGTCCCAGTCAGAGTCCGGACCTAAATCCAATCGAAAATGTGTGGCATGACTTCGATTGCTACCCAATGAACTTAACGGAGCTTGAACAGTTTTGTGAAGAAGAATGGTCAAATATCGCCAAATCTAGTGTGCAAATTTAGTGGAGACCTATCCCAACAGTCTAACAGCTGTAATTGCTGCCTACGGTGCTTCCACCAAGCATTAACTCAGGGGGGTGGAGACTTATCCAATGCTATTTTTTTAAATATATAGAATTTTTCACATTCCCTTTAAGTGGAGTATGGTGTGTAGATAAGTGGGGGAAACAATCCTTATTTAAATGCATGAAACTCTGAGGCACTGACAGAACAAAATGTTCAAGGGGGTGTAGACTTTCCATAGGCACTCGGTTTATTAGGTACACCCACCTAGTACCGGGTCGGACCCCTCATTGCTCCAGAACTGTCTGAATTCTTCGGGGTATGGATTCTACAAGGTATGGCTTACAAACGTTGCTCAGTTGGTATCAAGGGACCTAACGTGTGCCAGGAAAAATTTCCCCACACCATTACTCCACCGTCACCAGCCTGTACCGTTGACACCAGGCAGGATGGGGCCATGGACTCATGCTGCTTATGCCAAATCCTGACTCTGCCATCAGCATGACGCAACAGGAACCGGGATTCGTCGGACCAGGCAATGTCTTTCCACTCCTCAATTGTCCAGTGTTGGTGATCGCGTGCCCACTGGAGACGCTTCTTGTTTTTAGCTGATAGGAATGGAACCCGGTGTGGTTTTCTGCTGCAGTAGCCCATCCGTGACGAGGACCGACGAGTTGTGCGTTCCGAGATGCCGTTCTGCACACCACTGTTGTACTGCGCCGTTATGTGCCTGTTTGTCGCCCGCCTGTTAGCCTGCAAGATTCTTGCCCTTCTCCTCATCAACAAGCTGTTTTTCACTGACTGGAGTTTTTTCTTTTTTTCGCACCATTCTCGGTAAACCCTAGCTGCTGTGGTACGTGAAATGCCCAGAGGCCAGCCTTTTCGAAGATACTGGAACCGGCGCGCCTGGCACTGATCATACCACGCTCAGTCGCTTAGGTCACTCATTTTGCCCATTCTAACGTTCAACCGAACAGTAACTGGATGCCTGTCTGCCTGCTGTATATAGCAAGCCATGGTCACCTGGGTTACTGTCTGTAGGAGGTAACTATTTTCGTGAACGGGGTGGTGTACCTAATAAACTGGCCACTGAGTGAGTGTATATTCATGGGTTTGGATTTAGTCACACAGTCCTCAAACGAGAGGAAGGATGAATAGGTATGCAGGATTTTGTAAAAGTGGAGGACATATTCCATGTCTGTCTCGGATAATTCCCCCTCTCTTCTCTTGATTGCAGGCTCTTCAGCAGAGGCGCTAGTCAGTCTTAAAGGTACTGTAGCTTAACACATTGCATTGATTGTCCCTGTCTGTGTATGTAGCCTATGTATTGTGTATACTGCAGGCTCACTTTGACCCTGTTTTTCCCAAAAGTTTGGAGATGTCAGTCCCTCATTGGATTAGGAGTCTTTAAAAGCCTCTCTAAAGAAAGAGCTTAAAAATGCAACACACAGGTGATGTGTCATAGACCAGGAACTAAGCCCATTTGAACTCTTAACTTGTCAATTGTTAGTGTGAGTCTGTCAATGCGCTTTATTCACTGATGTCATTGTGTGATGTGGTAAGTATGTAGTTTTAAGTAGTGAACTCTCCTTTACTGTATGACCACTGATTGCAGAAGACGTGATAGGATAAATTAATAATGTGGAAACCAGTCCTTTCACCTATGGCAGGGCTTGACATTAACTTTTTTAGCCACTTGTTCTTTGGACAAGTAGGACTGATTTGCAACTCTGCCTAGAAGGTCAGCATCCCGGAGTCGCCTCTTCACTGTTGACGTTGAGAATGGTGTGTTGCGGGTACTATTTAATGAAGCTGCCAGTTGAGGACCTGTGAGGCGTCTGTTTCTCAAACTAGACACTAATGTATTTGTCCTCTTGCTCAGTTGTGCACCGGGGCCTCCCACTCCTCTTTCTATTCTGGTTAGAGACAGTTTGTGCTGTTCTGTGAAGGGAGTAGTACACAGCGTTGTACGAGATCTTCAGTTTCTTGGCAATTTGTCGCATGGAATAGCCTTCATTTCTCAGAACAAGAATAGACTGACGAGTTTCAGAAGAAAGTTATTGGTTCTGGCCATTTTGAGCCTGTAATCGAACCCACAATTGCTGATGCTCCAGATACTCAACTAGGCTCAAGAAGGCCAGTTTTATTGCTTCTTTAATCAGCACAACAGTTTTCAGCTGTGCTAATATAATTGCAAAAGGGTTTTCTAATGATCAATTAGTCTTTTAAAATGATAAACGTGGATTAGCAAACACAACGTGCCATTGGAACACAGGACTGATGGTTGCTGATAATGGGCCTCTGTACGCCTATGTAGATATTCCATTAAAAATCAGCCGTTTCCAGCTACAATAGCCATTTACAACATTAACAATGTCTACACTGTATTTCTGATAAATGTTATGTTATTTTAATGAAGAAAAAGATAGCTTTTCTTTCGAAAACAAGGACATTTCTAAGTGACCCCAAACTTTTGAACGGTAGTGTACATGAGTGCCAGTGGAAAGTTTTTTATTTTAGGACATGACAATGACATTAATACTTGCTAATAGTGAACTAGTGAGAACCAGCCAAACTATACAATATGTTTTGAATTGGCTATTTAGTTAGTCATGTATATCATTATTTTACCTGCTGCACAAATGGCTCTCTCTCTCTCCTCTGGCAACGGCCCACTGGCACACCAGGATTTTCATTGCAGACCAAAAATGCGCTGTAACTGGGCAAATAACTCACTAACTAGCAATGAATATCAACAAATGTGCACACGCGGCTCGCTTTGATCTCAAAAGCGCATCTTGCGACTGCATGATTGAAAGACCGCTCATGCCTGTCAATGTAGGCAGGCCTACAATAATTATACTCCGATGCGCTCTGCAGAGATTGGGAGGACCGTGTGCAACACATTGCATCCGGAGGATACTGATCCAATTCTGATAGGAGTAGCCGAATTGTTTGATATTGTGTTTTTTGCAGGTATTTATTTTATTTTATTTAAATTTATTTTCCCTGGGCAATGGGACAAGCGTTAATTTCGAGCCCTGTATGGGTCATGAAGGAAGGAGACTAGGAAAGGAGGACATTTCAGAGTTTGGGAAATAGACTTGTAAACGATGAGGGAGCAGTGGTGATTTGTAAGATGCAAGTTTAATCTATTTTTGATAACGCCACATTTTGTGAATCTCCAGAGGGCAGTCTGTCAAATACTTTGAATGAGAAGCAAACAAAATCTCACAACACGAGAGGACGACACACCTTGGTGTCCATGGAAACGGTGAGATGGCCAATCTAGCCCTTCGTCACATCTATCCTTTGAAACTCTTTAGGTCTTGTATTGATTTTATCTCTGGTGATTCAATCACTGTTGATTAAGTGGGCACTGATATTCTTATCAGCACTTCCCATGAGCAGTTTGTCAAAGTTACCCTCAATGTTCTGATTTGCACAATCAATTCTACCTGGTTGACACTTCATTTGTATTCTGAACAAATCAGTGCCCCCGTTTCATCTTAGATGGGATAGGCGTGTGCAATAAGCAATACTATCTGCACATTTGAAAACATTTTTTATAAAGCATTGACATGATTCTCACCTATATGCTGACCCTCCCCTCCCTGTGTCCAGCCCACGCGAAGCTCCAAGAGGAGCAGACTGTTTAGGGAGGAGGAGGAGCAGCGCCTCCCATCCAGATCCCCTAGAAGGAGCCAGAGGGTCACCTCTGTACCCCAGGTATAGCTCCAGCTCACACAGCAGGGCAAAGCAAACCCTGTTGCATCTGTAAAATAAATGCCTTGCTTTTGGCCCGCATCATTGTCCTATCCCCTCACTGCAAATACACAGCCTCCTTTAAACCCAGAGGAGCAATGTGAAAGCATTTCCTCCTATAGATCAACTACTATAGCTCAGGATAACCCAATGTGCTTTTGTAAACTATTTAGTGACTTAATTCTTGTTCATTTGTTTTGATTGTTTTCTTTCAGAAGTTTGCTAATGTGACGACCCCAGATAAGAAAGTGTCTCAGAGAATCGGGCTGAGGTTGAGAAACCTCCTCAAACTTCCTAAAGCACACAAATGGTGCATCTACGAGTGGTTCTATTCTAACATCGACGGGTAAGCTACACTACCACGACAGCTGTATTACACACACACACACCCAGTGTGGAATTCCTTTGACCTCTGCCACCTTTTCCTCCACCCAGACCTTTATTTGAAGGGGACAATGACTTCTGCCTGTGCCTGAAGGAATCCTTTCCCAACCTGAAGACCAGGAAGTTGACCCGTGTGGAGTGGGGTACAATCAGGAGACTGATGGGGAAACCCAGACGGTATTGTTCATTATTACAGCACATTCTCTTTTTAAAGACTGACCTTCCAAATCTGATTTTCTTTGCTCTCCATTTCTCGGTGTCCTTTTGAAGTGAATAGATTGTCCCCATGAATATCCCTCTCTGTTTTCATTATTTCGAGACACCAATGATAAACACCTTGTGCACACCGTGGAATCTCAGGGAAATATCCTGGAATGTTAATTAAAGAAAGAAACCTTTCTTGGTTGTCTTTTTCATGCACACTAAGTATACCAGCTCTGTGTGTCTAATTGACTTAGTTAAATGTTCCCCTTTAGGTGTTCGTCTGCGTTCTTTGCTGAGGAGCGGACTGCGCTGAGACAGAAGAGGCAGAAGATGCGTATGCTGCAGCAGAGGAAGTTTTTTGACGTGGCACACTGCAAAGACCTCCCCGACGAGATCCCCCTGCCGCTCGTCATAGGAACCAAAGTCACCGGTAAAACACTGTAGTGATGGCAACTAAAATAACTTCTTAAATACCAGCAGCCCATACCCTAAAAGTAGCTATCAGCAAACCTGTAGTCATAGCACCTAAAGTCCCCTGTAAATCTCCAGATTAGATGGATTCTGTGTGTTCCAGCTCGTCTTAGGGGAGTCCATGACGGCCTGTTCACTGGGCAGATCGATGCCGTGGATACGGGCGCTGCTACTTACCGTGTGACCTTTGACCGGAATGGGCTGGGCACACACACCGTGCCTGATTACGAAGTGCTGGTACGCCTGGTCTTCATTACACTCATTCAGCATTGACATGTTAGAACAGGGATTCTCGGCAGACATCAAACGTACAGAGAAACCTGAGTCTTTGTCCATCACCAGCAGTGCTGTCTAAAGTCCATGGAAAAATATCAACTTAAAAAGCAAAGCATTTAGAAACATCCTTCAATCACAAACATGCTACATGGAAATCAGCAGTAATTCACAAGGGAACAAGATAATGCCAATAAGTGGTTTTCTGCTGTATTACCAACGATAAGGTTGATTTAATTATATTGTTTCTTCCCTCTCCAGAGTAACGAGCCCAACGAGACCATGCCCATCTCAACCTTCGCACAGAAACTTAGACCCTCCCGCTTCCAGAACTTCATGACCCCTCCCAGAGTGACCTACCCCGCCGCCACCACACCTGTCCTCATGGTAAGCAGGAAACAGTGCACAATGACTTCAATGCACATTATAGTTTCATCACTTCTAATCATTAATTTCTGATTGAGGAAATCTGGGATACTGGTTAGGTGACGTCGTTACAGTTTTATTTGAGATTACTGTGAATGGTTCATATACTTCTATTGCTATAACATGATTATGACTGATCCTTGACTGACAATTGTCTCTCAATTGTATTCAATATTGCTTTGCTTATTTGCCATCGGAATTGACACATCTATGCCTGTGACAGGACAATGATCCCCTCATCAGCCAGTCTCCATGGAAAAACAAACTCCCTGGAGCGGACGGGGACACACTCGGAGGATTCCCTGTCAAGTTCCTCGTCCAAGTGGTCAGTCTTCCTGTCTTGGCTCTGCTTCTAGGATAATATAGCATAATGTAAACGTAAATATGTCCCACTAAGAATCTCTCCCTCCTAGACGAGGCTCTCCAAGATCCTCATGATCAAGAAAGAACACATCAAGCACTTGAAGGATATGAACGCAGAGGCTGAAAAACTGGTAGGCTCCCAGAAAATACTAAGACAGTACTATGACAGACAATGTTCCTAATAGTGTATTCTGTCATAGAAATAGTAAAAAAGTGACAAAGTAAATATATACAGCTTAACATTTAAATGTGTTGTGTGTTTGTAGAAATCGTGCTCGACGCCTATAGGCCTGGAGTTCCAGAAGCGTTATGCCACCACAGTCCTGGAGCTGGAGCAGCTCAATAAAGACCTGAACAAGGTGCTGCACGAGGTCCAGCAGTTCTGCTATGAGGTGAGGACACACTGGCACATCTTTTGGTCTCATCTCAGTAAAAGGGTCCTCTGTAGCTCAGCTGGTAGAGCACGGCGCTTGTAACGCCAAGGTAGTGGGTTCGATCCCGGGACCACACATACACAAAAATGTATGCACGCATGACTCTAAGTCGCTTTGGATAAAAGCATCTGCTAAATGGCTTATTATTATTATTATTATTATTATTATTATTATTATTATATTTCATTGTCTTGCAGCTAGATGTGTAACAGATTGTCTTACCTCCTAGGAGTGTACTTAGCAAGAAGGCATGAGACGAGCAAAACATCAGCGATAGTCGTCTTTAGATGATAATCAACGAAGGGTGTCTCAATAATGACGTTGTGCCGATAAATTGCATATTTGTTTCTTCGGCTGGTCCCAGAACAGTTTTATACGACAATATGAATCGAAGCATGTATGCCCCTCTGTCCTCTCCAGCTGGCCCCAGATCAGGGCATGGCTCCTGCAGATCGGCCCACAGAGCTGCGTCAGCGCTGTGAGGAGGAGGCCAAGGAGATGGTGCAGCAGACCAACACCCTCCGTGACGACCAGCAGTGCGTCTCCAACGCCAGCCTCACACACCTCATCTCAGGCCTTACTGCCTTACTGCTGCAGATCAAGGTTAGTATATGGTGCACAGACACAGCATCACAGCACTACTCAATTGATTTGTTTGCCTGAGCATGTATTTGTTTGTGTTCCAGTGTCTGGCTGAGGGAGGAGACCTGAACTCCTTTGAATTTAAATCGCTGACTGACTCTCTGAACGACATAAAAAGCTCAATAGACCCCTCCAACCTCAGGTGAGTGCCTCTACAGTTCACATCCATTCTGCCCAATGTTTCGTCCTATTTAGAGTTATGAGGGGAGATGGATGACAGTGATGGAAGACTTCAGAGGAAGGGATAGCAATATGGCCAAGATGGCGGGTGCATGTTCACCTGGTCTTAATGTTTGTCCTATCCTGCCTGTGCAGTTGCTTCCAGAACAACGTAGAGATTCACGTAGCCCACATCCAGAGTGGTCTGAGTCAGCTGGGAAACCTCCACGCCTTTGCAGCCAACAACACCAACACGGTCTGAACACACACAGAGAGCGGCCTGGTCAGCACCAACTAAGTGGAACATACACACTATCTCGAGTGACTGTGAAAGAAGAGGTCGGTTTGTGGATCCCCTGACTTTCAAACAAAAAGCCCCCACTGAAATGATCTGGCTCAACATGTAGGCTATGTTTCCGTGGTTGTGGGGAAATATCCTTACTTTTCTCACAGCTGTCTGTCATCCACATGTTTGATTTTATTGTATATATGTCTTTGAAAATGATTTGTTTACTGTAATGAACACGGACAAAATGTAATGTCAAACCGGCCCTGGTCTATAGACTAGACTTTGGTCACTGCAAGAATTCACACACAAAATTCCAGTTGTAGATTTATTCTATGGTCTCATGTGCCAAACAGTACTTCAAGCAGTTTCTATTATAATCCATATTTATTTTTAAGAGTTGGTGATAAAACAAGATTTAGCATTTGGAGCTTCCCTTTGAGTCAATGTTTTTGTGTTCCTTTACTCCACTGGTAGTAAGCACAGGGTAGGCTAAAGAATGTTTTGTAAAATTGTTTATTGTAGATATTTGTACAATACCTTTATGAGTACTCTGATTTATCGTTGACATTTGTGTAACCCTCTGAGATGGCTTTTGTAATTTTGTGTGCACTGAAGAGATTTTAGTATTTTTGTAAAATGAGAATTCTGGTTTTTGATGCAGTTGACTCAAATGGATTGACAGCCTCGAAAGGGCACTGTTGAAGCATCAGGCCTACATGTAACCTAAATTCAAACACAATACTGAGGTGATAAATGTTTGTTCCCAGAATTTCTCCATTTCACCTTTTTTGTTTTGTAAATCTGTATATGGGAATTTGTAAATATTCCTTGCTGTCATTTTATATTAAACATATAGCCAAGCAAACTAATGTCATGCCTTTGTGACAATTGATAAGGATAGGTGAGGAACAAATTACACAGCACGGGTAGATTAAATGTAATATATATTTTATTTGGTAGCCTGTTTGAAAACGAAGACAATCAAAATAATATACAATAAATAAGTGTATCTTTATAACAAACTTACATCAGTTCATTTTGAAGTTATGAACCACCACTCAATTTCACAGTGACAGAAAATTCACATGAAGTCACCAAAGCCAGACATGGCACCGTTTTCCCACTCTGAATCCGAATCAGAAAACTCTTGAGCCTTGCTGGCACGAATGGGAGAGAAGTGGCCGAAGTTATGAGATCTGGTCTTAACTTGAGGATGCTGTACTTGGCACGCGATTTGCTTTGGAGAGGACCTGCCGAAGTTGTTCTGTGATGGAATAGGAGGGATCACCACTTTCATCTCGGGACCTATGGTCTTGTTTGGGGGAAAGTTGTCATATTCAACCAGGACATGTTTTGGACCTGCACTACAGCTTATGTTGCTTTGGGACTTGATGTAAAGTCCATTTCCCTTGTGATACGGATGAACGTTGTTGCACGGAACCGCAACGCTCAACTCGTCTTGTTTCATTTGCTCAACTTTTCTGCTATTCCCATTTATGGACGCATCGTAAACATAAGGGATAGTCGAGTGTTCGTAGTTACCCGTTTTCGTGGGTAGTGTTGTCTTGGCGTGCGTTTCTTCCGTCCGGGTGTGGAGTGGTGGTCTGAGGTTGTCCCCCAGTGCTAAATTGAACATTCTCTGAATCTCTTGGGGCATTCGGTGATTGAGTTGCGCGAACGGGGCCACGGGGGCGTTGGCGGCAAAACCGTTGCGCTTCATGGACAAGGACGACCCTTCCTGGCGACGGGACTTTGCGCGTCGGTTCTGGAACCACACCTGTGGAAGATAACGTATTAGAGCCTATGTTTTTTTTTTCACATTTAAAGTCATGTTTGTTTTTTGGGGTCGGTAGGCCTAGAAAATGTTGCCCATGGCAGTTTGCCAAGTTTTATCATGGAAACTCACTTTTGTGTTTTAGCCAACTTGTAAATCTGGTGCCTTACCTGAATTCTGGACTCTGGTAGGCCGGTGAGAGCCTCCAGTCTCTCGCGAAGGTATATGTCAGGGTATTTGGTGTCGGAGTATACTTTCTCCAGCACCCCAATCTGCTGCTGGGTGAAGTTGGTTCTCTTCCTTCGATGGGTCATGCTGTCCGCTCGCTGTCCCATGGAGTTTGCAGAGTTGAAGTAGCTTTCCCTATCCGCAGCACCATAATCTGTCCAAACCAAGAACGATGGCATTAATATATAATGTAACGAAGGAAGACAGTAAGATTTACAGAGATATTGCGCTTAACGTGAGCGTAATTACGCTGTAACCAACCTGAATGCAGCATGCTATTCCTCTCCATGTGTCCGTCGGGGTACATCTGGAATTGAGTTAGGTCTCCTACCCTCAGTTTTCCGTGGACGGCTGACATATTTCTCCTCTAGTCTTTATTCCCAGAATCTGACTGACCACAACGGCCTGATCCCCGGTTTTATATCCGCCCTCATCTCCTTGTGATCAAAGGTGACTACGGAATGTGTGAATTGCGCGAGCAATTAGCGACGGCTGGCACTGGAGACGCACATTGTTCCTAGCGCGTCTGATGGCCAGAGAAAGGTGTGAATCTGCGACACCCTGAACGGTAGTGTGCACAAGCTCGCTTGAAAAGGTCTCCATGTCCAATACACAACTTGAGAAAGCATTTATTCGCTTTTTGAAGGAATGGTGGTCCCCCTTCTGAAGCAGTGAGGGACCAGTAGTAATCAAAGGGAGGATGTGATCATACAGATTATATAGAATATTTTTATTTCGGATAATTCGGGGTCCATACGTCTATATTCAGCAATTATTCCATTTTAGCAATGGCTGTAGACTTCTTTCAAATTAGAATTGTGTAATGCCAACTTAAAACATTTGTTCACTTTTTAAATGTTTGTTTTGTTTAGCCTATTTATGTCATCTTGCACTTTATAGGTGATGGAGGCAGTCTCAAACCAGACCTACATGGAAATACAGAATAGTAAAATGTGTAGGCCTACTTTTTGTTGACCCAGTGGGTCTTATAAATGATAATGATGAATCATACCGCTCACTATCAACAAAGAGCATGTCAATACACAAACCCAGTTCAAAGGTGGTCATGAGGGTATGTTTGAGGTGAATGGCCTGCCTCCAAATGGGCAGTAGGGTGTCAACATCAAACTCACACTCATCCATCTATGTGTACCAGTACAGAAATAGTTGATTGAACATATTCAACTACTTTGTTACAAATGCAATTAGCTTAAATCTGAAACAATTATGCATGAGTTCTGAAACGTATTTATCGATCCATTTCACTTGGGCCCCCCAGTCCTATACATGACGGCACTTCACAAGCCAGGCTTTGTCTGAGGGCTCCAACTACATTTGGTTATTGTCTGTCTGTGTGCCTCTAGAGTGTTATTATGCTAACATTGGGCTCCTGAGGTTCCTGATCTTGTGTAATGGCCTGGGTCAATGTTCTCAGGCTTCTTCTTGTGTATAATCTTAAGTCTGCGTGAGGGACATATCTGAGATGTTTCACAACGTAACGATTATGTTTATTTTGCTTGCAAATGTTTGAATAATTCACATTTCAGATACCCAAAAATGCACCTACACAAGACATTAAAAGAAGAGTCAGACACCCCAAGGCTAGAATATTGCAGTGGTTGAGAATCCTATCATCCTATGTTATCACTGCTTGCCTTTGCCTCTTTTTTTTTGCCTGCTTTTGATGCAGATGTAGACCACACAGCCGTATGTAGGCAAACTATTCACAACAGATCTGTCATACATTTATTAGGTTGTGAAAGTGTTTCATAATGAGAAAAAAAGGAGGACCATGAAGGGAGATTTAAGAATTGTGTTCTTTCTTGTTGACTGTATGTCTAGCATAGTCAAAGATTGCCACTGACCTTACTGCTGATAAGGTCTGTTAAATTAGATTAAAGGCTGGAGAAAGTTGATTAACTCTTTTTCCTTTCAAACATCAAACAGCAGAGAGCGGCTGGCTGGTCAGGGCATCATGCACAAGGCAGTGATCAGCTGAGCTGTGATAGGAGGCAGCCTTTGTAGATAGACCCATTGACACCCTGTCATTAGACAGACTGGGAAATGGACCACAGAGATTTACAAGGAAATGTCAAGCATTATGATGTTCTGTTGTCTATTCTATTTAGGCCTGTAACCTGTGGGTGATAACATAGGATGATAGGATTCTCAACCACTGCAATTCTTGATCTAAAACAGTAAAACCAAAAGAGGACAGTTGAAGTCATTTTATCCAAAAGTTATTGAATGTGGTTCATTTGGATGCCTATTGCTTTTGGGGTAGGGGGGCGTAGAACTGGAAGTGTGTGTTGGAAGAAAGATGCAGTGTGTAGCTACTGCCACTAGTGTCATTTTCACTTTCCAGTATTAATGGAGATGGTCATTTGGAGGGTCTGGTTGCGGGGAAATAGAATTCATAGCCCCAAGGTTCCAAGGTAGAATTCATAAAAAATTATGCATGTGCCCTGTTGTTTAGCTACCCGGTCTTGCTTCATTATTATTTATCTTGTAAAAGCCCTTACAAAAAAAGAATGCCGTTTTGAAACTGCTGTAAAAGTGCAGTAACTGCAGTCGACTGTGATATTTTGGGTGCAGTAATTGCAGAATAACGGCAGTGTACAGCAGTTATACTTCACTGTAACTGCGCAGTTACACTTCAAAATAACTGCAGTAAAAATATATATTTTGGACGCAATATTTGCAGCATACTGCAGTTATACTGCACTCTAACGGCAATATTTTTTCGTAAGGGAGAATCTCTTTCCACTATTTACCACAGCCACAAAGTAAAAATGGCTATATCGTAAATACTCCTGAAAACCAAAATTTGCTTTTTGGTCTTAATTTAAGGTTAGGCATAAGGTTATCAGTGTGGTTAACTTTAGGGTTAGGTTTAAAATCATATTTTAAGTAGAGAAATTGAAGAAAGGGGCGGGGTTTATGCATTTGTGGCTGTGGTAACTAGTGACGACCCAGAATCTCCCGGAACTTCCGCTAAATTAAATCGGAAGTAAGTACGTGGCCGCTTCAGGCAGCTCATATTCTGCATGATGGCGACAGAGGTTCAGAGCGGCGACATCAACAATGGCAGTTCTAGCCGGCTCGAAGTCTCCATCGACGGCCTCACCCTCAGCCCCGATCCAGAGGGCGAGCAGGAGCAAGTCGTTGAACCGGACCCAGTGCCCGCGGAGCAGGAGGCCGAGGACCAGAGCGCCGCCGAAGGCACGGACGATGGGGAGGAAGGCGAGTCTGCCAAAACCACGATAGAGAGGAAATGGGGCTTTGGTTTGCTGGAGCTATACGGGCTAGCCTTGAAATTCTTCAAAGGTATTTTATATTTATTCCTATTTAATGATAACAATGTAATGGAATTGAAATCGTGTTTTGGTAATACATGATGTAGCTAGCTAGCTGTTTCAACCCATTTTTTTTTTTGTGAGGTACATTAGCTAACTAGCTAATGTTAGCCAGCTAGCCACTTGCTTAACTATGATGCCTAGCTAGCTGTCAAAATGCCACTGCAACTTGAAGCTTTTTCATCAATCAGAATCTCCGAATAAAATGTTTTATCTACATGATTGCTGGATGTTCTTTCAGGTTGTCTCGTTGACAGAATTGATATTCAGACAACGAAAGAATAACGGCGTAGCTCTGTCTAGTCCAGATTAGATGAGGCAACATTTAATTTGACATGTCATGTGGTTCCTCCACGTAGCTACCAACTGCCAGTTTAACGTTACTAGTTGGTCTCTAGTGAATGACAACCCAGTAACTAACTAGTTTGATTGGTATGTGGCAAACACACACCCTGTCATTAATACAGCTATTCTAGCTACGGGCGAGGGGGCAGAATTGCATACAACTCCAAGACACAGATTTGTAGACGTCATTCTACTACATAATGCTAATGACTCATACAAAATAAACATTGCGATCAGCATACACACATGTTGACACCTGTCATTTCTGAGATGTTGAATTATTATATTGATTACTGAACTAAAGCAGACAAGACTAGTCATTCAGGCATAATCTAAAGGACACAGCTTGCAAGCAGTTTAGTTACTTTTACTGCTTAATTGTAGGTTGACTGCCTTCCAATCTCCAGAATTCACATGCATTAACTGCAGTTGGCTCCACATCAAAAGAAAGTGCCTAGGTTTCCTTTAATGGGCCATTGAATGCAGACTACACACACATTTCACAGCCAATGGATTAGCTTGGAAATGAGTCTGAGCCAATGCCAACACCATCACTTCAGATGTACACCTTCAATAGAGTAACAATAATTTGACATTTTAAAGCACACATGCATGCATTCTGCCCTGGTTCTCTGCTCCTCTGACAGGACTGAATAGCTAAAAGCAGTGTGGCCGAAACAAGGTGGAGCTATTGCTTACCTACACACCTACTCAATCATCTCAGATCTACGCTTGTGGAGTGAACAATGGCATAGGGGAGGGGATACGTTTCTGGAATTAAATGCAGCCTAGATCTGTAGAGGGAAGATAAAGAATATATAGGGCTGCTGATTAAGGAAACATTGAAGGAGTAGCCTATTTCTCCCACATGGGTGTGTTCGCTAAGTTTCAAACATCCAATCCATTTTTACTGCTGGATTATTGTGAGAGCCCTCCAGGTGATTTTGAGCATTGTGCAAACTGGTTCTAAAACGGGACTCATCCTATTATTCAGTGAAGCTGTGCATTGCATGCATTGTTAATTTCTCCCAAAGGGCATTGGCAATGTAAGGAGCGTGCATTAAAATGGAGCATGTTTTTCTCCCTTCTCATTAGATTTAGTCTAAATTGAGGCTTCTGTCTATGACCAAGCTCAGACATGGCTAAGTTGCTCCTTCGCTGACTGTACACTATAAAAGGGACATTTATGTAAGTCATCATTCGCTAGCAACAAGGTATTCTCTCTGGAACGAGGAAAACAAAACAGAACTTTCATTTTTAATGACCCATTTTATAGAGTGCCATTTCCAATATAGGCCTGAGTGTCTAGCAATGAATAATCGGTTAAATGATCAACAGATGACATATTTGCCTTGCTAGTGTATTGCAGTATGGAATCTAGACCATTAGTTTGTCCTCAGATAAGGATGGCAAGGCCTTCCACCCCACCTATGAGGAGAAGCTCCGTCTGGTGGCCCTCCACAAGCAGGTGTTACTGGGGCCATACAACCTCGACGCCTCTCCAGAGGTGGGCTTCTTTGACGTCCTGGGAAACGACCGCAGGTAACCCCCCCCCCCCCCCACCCCTCCCCAGTGTGTGTGACCGTTGAACTCCAGCAGCAGCTCCAGCCCTAGTACTGCTGCTGTGTTCCAGTAAACAGGAAATGTGAGGGAACAGATTGTGGAACACAACTTTTCCGTAAATGTGCACCAATTGATGGCCCATGTTGACACTCAGTGGTTGAACTCTTTACCCCTTACTGCAGACCACGTAAGCAAACCTTGGACTGAACTTTTTATTCTTGTTATTTGTCCTAAGTCATTGTCCCATTGCCACCATCTCTCTCTCTTCCTTCTGTAGAAAAGAGTGGGCTGCTCTGGGTAACATGGAGAAGGAGGAGGCCATGGTGGAGTTTGTCAAGCTGTTGAACAAATGCTGTAATTTATTCGCTCCCTATGTCACCTCCCACCAAATAGAGAAGGAGGAGCAGGAGAGGAAACGGTAAGATGGCCAGGAGGACAAACAGACAGACATTTCTGCCCATGAGAGCAACATGATGTAAACTCTACCCTAGCCTAGGATTTAGGGAATTTTCTCAAGTTTGTCTTGTTTTGGTCTCTGTTTCCTTCCATTTCACCTCAGGAGGGAGGAGGAGGAACGACAGCGCCGGGAGGATGAAGAGCAGGAGCGACAGAGACAGGCGGAGGAGAGGCGGAGGCTCGAGGATGAGGAGAGGCTGAAGAGGGAGGAGGAGGAAAGGAGACAGTTGGATGAGGAGAGGCTACGGGTGGAGCAGCAGAAGTGAGTACTGTGTGTGATGTGATAAGTCTGATTATCTAGCTTCAGCTTAACCTCTATGTACTGTGTGTATGAAGCTTTTTATGGTAGTCCAGTGTTTGTTGAATGGCGCTGAGTTGATGGTGTCCTCCATCCTCCCCCTCCCTGTCTGCAGACAGCAGATCATGGCAGCGCTGAATGCCCAGACGGCGGTGCAGTTCCAGCAGTATGCTGCCCAGCAGTACCCAGAGAGCCCTGAGCAGCAGCTGGGTCTCATACGCCAGCTACAGGAACAACACTACCAACAGTACATGCAGCAGCTATACCAGGTCCAGCTGGCTCAGCAACAGGTACACACACACAACACAATGTCCTATGCACTCCACATCTCAACACATCTGTTTCAGATATAAGGTAATAAGCAGTACTAAACGATTAGTAAGTTGTTGCTCCTTTAAGTCTCTCATTAGAGATGTCAACCAGTGCTTACCTTTATTTTCATGAAGAGAATACAATGTAGAGATTATACAGAAATGTCTTGGTCATGTTGTCCTCCCAGTCATTGACCCTCCTCCTTCCCCCTATCTCTCCCCTCCAGGCTGCCTTACAGAAGCAGCAGGAGGATGCGGTGGTGCAGGCCACCCTGGAGGTCACCAGTGAGACTTTAGCTGCAGTGCCCCCTGCTGGAGAGGAGGTCCCCATGCTCAACGGCCAGTCAGACTCCCACTCTGAGAGCATAGACAAAGAGCCAGAACCCCTCGAGCCTGCCGATGAGGTCACTGAGAATGGGCCCATAGGTACACGCACGCATCGGCCAGGTACAAACACACACGTGCACACACACCGGTCAGGTATCGTCGGCGATCACTCGAGTCGAGTATGATTGTCCTCCATGCAGTTTTCTATTTGTGGGTCTTCAGATGGCTATAGAGGCCGATCCAGGAGCTGCATATATGGTGTAGTTGTGGTTGGGCCTTCCTGGTGTCTCTCCTTGCATAGCACACACACCACAGACCAACCGGTATAGCTGCATTCCAACCTGTAAATGTGATACCTTACCCTATGTCCTTGGGGATCAGAAAGAGATGAATAGGTGTAAGGGATACGTGAATGACTCCACCCTAACCCTCCGATTGGCTAAGAGGAGTTACTGCCCATTGTGCTCTCATTGATACAGTTCTTTCAGGTCTCTGAGGAGGGAGTTCTCAAGGACAGAGGAGGCCAATTTCTGGTTTGGAATCAAGCCATGGAATTAATTCATCTGTAACAGCAGAGTATCTCTGTCTACTCTGTTCATGCGGGATAGAACAAGGAGACAGTGTGCCAGTGTTGCCCTAAAGCCATTACTGCCTCATCTAGTTTCTTAAGATGCCACTCTAATGGAGAAAGGACGTTTTATTTAAAAGTACTCAAAAGCAGATATATATTTTTTTATTCGTCTTTTTCTGAAAATGTCTACCTGAGAAATGCATGTACACGGTGCCCAATCCGCCCATGTTATATTTCCACGCCCCTCTATCTTCCTCCCCTACTTTCCCTTCTCTCTGTCCAGCAGACTCTCCCCCGGTCATCGCTGCTCCCTCCATGTGGACGCGGCCCCAGATCAAGGACTTCAAGGAGAAGATCAGACGGGATGTGGATAGTGTGATCACGGTGGGTCGTGGCGAGGTGGTGACGGTGCGCGTGCCCACCCACGAGGAGGGCTCCTACCTCTTCTGGGAGTTTGCCACGGACCACTACGACATCGGCTTCGGAGTCCTCTTCGAGTGGACGGATGCCACCAACGCCTCGGTCAGCGTGCACGTCAGCGAGTCAAGCGACGAAGACGAGGATCAGGAAGGTGAGGAGGAGGAGCACTGTTAGATAGGCTGCTTGTGTTCTAATAGGATGTTACTGGTTGTTTAGTGAGACCCATGATGCATTTCTACTGAGATGACTATCCTAGTTTAATAAAATCATTTAGTTAGTCCTCACTTTCTTAATGGAGTTATTCCTGCTTGTTTGTCAGGGCTCATGTTCTTTTTGCATGTTCCCCCTTATTGTTGATATGTGTACGGTCCTTTCACACATCTTGAATGCCACCTCAGTCATGATGAATATCCAGTAGCTACAGACAGCCCTCCTGACGGTCTGTGTTCCCCCTTATCTTCAGGGGAGCCCCCTAGGGAGGAGGAGAAGCTTAAGAAGGGGGCTGGGAAGCCCCAGGTGGATGAGATAGTGCCGGTGTACCGGCGGGACTGTCACGAGGAGGTCTACGCCGGCAGTCACCAATACCCCGGCCGTGGAGTCTACCTGCTCAAGTTTGACAACTCCTACTCTCTCTGGAGGTCCAAGAGCGTCTACTACAGAGTCTACTACACCAGATAAGCCTGGAGACAGACTACGGGAGGGGGGAGGGTGTGTGTCTGTATGTGAAGTGAGGAGGGGGTGGTGAGAGGATCAGTTCTGGACTAGACCACCAGAGGGCGACAAATGCGTCAGACTCAGTTTTGAGATGGGACTTCTATCTGTGTGTGTTTGTGTGTTTGCATACAACTCGTCTGAGCCTGTGGAGTTTGGGAATGAGTTAACACTGTAGTGTATTCGCCGCCTGTCTTCTCTCTCTTAGAGACCAACTCTAGGACTCTTGTATTTAATGACTGTGTTCACTGCCCAAACGTCATCTAACCCACAGCCTATGTTGTCCTGTCATGTCATTGTTATGGCTGTGCTTCTATCTGACTGAGACACTTCTTAACCGGAGTTTAAATGTTTCCAGCCCACTATGGGTTAACACAGAAATGAAGTCCATACATGGTTTTGTCCAATGAGAGAAGTCATTGGACAAACAGAATGGCACACAAACACACTACTACAGCACCATGCATTTGTACTATAGCAGGAGTCCCTTCTAGACCAACACTGAGTAACACACATTAAAACACAGTCAATCACTCCTCTAGTGGCAACGCTGCAGCGGAAAGAGCTACGTCCAGATCCACATGAACCCCTAGCCCCTACCACCTACACCCTTCTGGGATCTGAGAGGGTTGGATTATAGGCATAAGCAATACGGCTAGCCTATCAGAGGGCAAGGTGGAGCTGTTATCCTATCGCTATTATCTATGCAAACCTTTCACATCTCCACAAGTGCATCGGGAGAAGGGGTTAGGGGTCAATTTGGTAATGGGCGCTATTCTACTGAGCGAGGGATAATCGAGAGGTGGGGATAGGGTATAGGGGTGGAAGAGGGGATATGACATGTACATTGAAAAGTATGGTGGAGGCCTTGTAAAGTTGGGCATCTCGAAATGGAATGCTGATAAATGTGAGATTATGTCTAAAAAGGATTTAATAAATATGTATTATTTGCCATTTTCTTGTAGAGTAGGATCATTTTTGTGTCTGTATAATATTTTTGTGTATTTCATCTCCAAACAGTGGCCTCCCTGCATCAGGAGACATGTCTCTTGAGTCTTTAGATCGGTGTTACCCAATAGGCGGCCTGCGGGCCTAATTCAGGTCACAGGTGATTTTTTTATTTGGCCCCTTAAGTTTAAATATTTCTGGTGTTAGACATACTAAAATCACCAGGAAATCAGCTCAGTGATTTTAATGTAGGAAAGCTGTTCCTAAGTATTCCCATACATAAATAGAACGGCAAATGTGATCGTATCCCTATGTAATCAAGGGTTGAAATTATTCCGTTTTTGTCAAATACTTTATCTGTTTTGGATTGTTGCAGTCAATTTGCAGTGTACAAATTATTTATAACTGTTGGCCCCCGACCATCCGCTCAAGGAAAAATCTGCCCACGGCTGAATGTAATTGGGACCCCTGCTTTAGATGCTTCCTTTTCTTTATGGCCACTGGTCTCAAAGGACATGACAGGTTAAAATGATAAGGATGGAAACCTATCCATCTTTCCCTATAAGGGTGCAAGGAAGCAAGCCAGTAAAGAGTATTGGGACACACTCCATGTCTGTTCTGAGGGAGACTGGACACTGTCCTCTATTGACCATTCTGTGAGTTGAGTTTGTCACAAGTGATTTCTGACTCATACATACGAGCTGACAGCTAACAACTCAAGAAGATTTTTGCCTTTGTTTTGGTCATTTCACTGTTACATCTCTATAGCGTTTCAGAAATCCACAGGCAAACACAATATTTGCTGTATTTATATCTGTCAAATATGTCTTCATTTGATGGATTGATTCAGATTTGTCATCTCAAATATGACTTTGGACTATCTCTAATAAATTGATGATCACGTCTAGCTCTCTGGTCGTTCATGTCTCTGGTTGAGAGTAATCAGTTACTGAGCTCCAAAGGTGTGTTTTAACTTTTATGATCTCTTAGTAGTTTATTTAGTTGGCATTATTTGGTATTGTTCAGTCAGACTTCACCTACCTTACATCTGCATGCTTTGTGTTTCACTTTAAGTCGGATAGCCAACAGGGTTTGTTGATGATGAGTTGTGTGCTTCTTTTGAAAGACTGTTTTCGATTAATCATACTATTGTTTGGTTTCTGATGGATTTCCAAGTCTCCTTTCAAATGAAAGATGCCTGACATTACTTTAACACGTACTAACGTTCACTGTGCCGAGCAGAGTTGCACAGTGTCATCAACTGGGGTCAGAAAGAAACTGGCTTATTGGTAGGCCTGATTCTATTCTAATCACAACTCCCTCTCCTAGTTGTAGTTCCTCGTTGTTTTGTTCATTTGTTTAAAGTACTTTTGCTCACCAACTGGTAGCCTAATGATACAAATTGTTCAAGCCTTGTATGTAAATAATTATATAAATGGATTTTAAGTGTGGGTTCGAGAGACGGGAAAAGACAATGGGTTGAGAACTGATGCACTGTAGTATGGTGAATGAGATTATGTACATTGTTCCCCAAAAAAAGTCAAACTCAAGTGTAAACTGAAAGACTGAATGAAATGTGGAAAAATGCTCATCCATTTTTGTATTGCTTTGACTCTTTTTGATCTGTATGAGTTTGAAGAATAATCTGGGGATATATTTAATCTTGATTAAATTTATGCTCATTTCTATAACATGAATGTCTTTCTTCTCACATGTATTATAAAAAAGAAAATGTGCAATGTAAATGTAAAAAAAGGAGAAAGAAAATTACATTTGTGTTCTACATTTTGTTACAGTTAAGGTTATGTAGTAGACCATCAGTGTCATTACATACGTTTTTTTTAGTAATCTTGTAAATTATTTTTTTAATGTATGGTTACAAGGTTTATTGGGGATTTTACAGCCAGTGAATAATGCTTTGGACCCTGGGGCCTCATTTTATAAACGTTGCGTACACTCAAAATGACCCAAAACATGCGTGCGCCAGTTTTCATGCAAAAATGGTCATTTATTAAAACTAAACTTGACGTGAGAATGTGCTTATCCTCCCTTTAGACAATGCATGCGTACCGTTTCTAGGGGTTGAAGTCTTGCATTGCAAATGGGGAATCTATGAAACTCCTATTCATAACAAAAGAACAGGTAGGCCTAGCTAAATATAATAACATGCAATCATTTGCCGTCAGTGAGAAGAGCGAAAAATAGATATCTTTGCATTCTAAAATAATTAGAAATAGGTATAGGCCTATATTTCCTATTTATTTAATTTCCATGATCATTGCAGAATAAATTCCTCACCTTTTCTGACTGTGATGCTTTCATAGGCTACTCTCGAAATAGCCTACAAGTTGGGACGAATGGTATCCTATCTCTCATTTAAGTGACCCACCTCACAGTAGCAAATAGATGAGCTATTTCAAGCAGCCTATTTTTTTCTCTATACGCAGTTTAACGGTAGAACAGACGGTTGACCTTTTCCTTACACGTTTGTAGGCTACGTCAGAATAATGTAATGTGAAATTTCTTGCGTAGACATTATTTAATTTATATACATAATACGTAGTCGTGGACGAAAACATTGGCACCCTTGCACTTTTTTCAAATAATGCACAATTACTTCCAGAACGGTTGAAATTGAAATATCTTCGGGTATCCACATATGTATGTCTTTGGTTTGCAGTTGAACAAAACAAAAAAATCGGAATAACTGACTAAATGTTAGCTTATTCCACAAAGACATCCTAAAATGGCCTGGACAACATTATTGCCACCTTCTAGAAGTAGTTAAAAATAATTAGATTTCAAGTAGTTGATTCTCCTTTACTTTGGAATTGAACTCACCACAAGAAGGTGCCTGCAATATAAAAATCACTCATTCAACCAGTTTGAATAGAGAAAGGGACTCATTCTCCTGTTTTGTGTCACAAGAAAACCAGAGAATTATCTGAGGTCAGACACAAGATTGTAGCCAAGCATGGACCATCTCAAGGCTACAAGTCCATCACCAGAGACCTTGATGTTCCAGTTTCCACTTTACGTAATGTTATCAAGAAGTTTAAGGCCAATGCCACTGTATCCAACCTCCCTGGACGTGGCCACAAGAGAACTTGATGGAAGATTGCAGCGAAGGATTGTTTGAATGGTGGAGAAATCACCTCGATCAACTGCCACACCGATTCAAACTGACCTTCAGACAGAAGGTACGACAGTTTCAACTCGCACCATCCGTCGCCAACTCAATGAAAGGGGGTTATATGGTAGGAGACCCAGGAGGACCCCACTGCTGAGAGAGAGACATGAGAAAGCCTGACTGCAATTTGCCAAAACACACCTGAACAGGCCAAAATCCTTCTGGGAGAATGTCCTGTGGACAGATGAGACCAAATTAGAGCTTTTTGGTAAAGCACACCATCTCAATGTTTACAGAAAACAAAATGAAGCCTTCATAGAAAATAACACCCTCCCTACAGTCAAACATGGAGGAGGTTCAGTGATGTTTTGGGTTTGCTTTGCTTCCTCTGCCACTGGGTGCCTTGAAATTGTGCATGGCATCATGAAATCAGGAGAATATTAAGGCTTTTTGGAGCGCAATGTTGGACCTAGTGTCGGAAAGCTGGTTCTCCATCGAAAGATCATGGGTCTTTCAGCAGGACAATGACCCTAAACACATTTCAAAAAGCACCCAGGAATGGTTCAAGACAAAACGCTGGACTGTTCTGAAGTGGCCAGCAATGAGTCCAGATCCAAATCCCATTGAAAACTTGTGGAGAGATCTGAAAACGGCAGTTGGGAGAAGGCACCCTTCAAATCTGGGAGAACTGGAGCAGTTTGCACAAGAGGAGTGGGCCAAACTGCCAGTAAAGAGGTGCAGAAAGCTAATCGATGGCTATAGGAAGCGCTTGATTGCAGTTATTTTGACCAAAGACTGTGCTACCAAATATTAAGTCTAGGGTGTTAATAATTTTGTCAATGCCATTTCTGTTTATTTTCTGATTTTAAATTGATATATTAAGTTCTGAATCAAAAACAAAGGTTCTGTAATATTAACAGTGAAATAAAGAATTTTGGAGACCAAATACTTTGGTCAATTTCAACTTATTTTTAGGGACAATTTGTGAGTTACTTGAAAAGAGTGCAAGGGTGGCAATATTTTTTA